TCTAGTCATCTCCTCTCCGTGTACTTAGAGCCAGCACGTGCCCGCCCAGCCTTTGTAAGCAAAGTTAAGGAGAGCCTTCTGGTTTGGGTCTTCTTTGCAGAAGTGGCTCTGCATTCCAGTTAGCTTTCCAGGGGGGTTCTTCACCACTTCCTCTCTCATTTGCCATGTCAATGTGTGTAAGACATATCCTTAGTGCCTAAGAAATGCAGAAAGCTGAGGTAACTGTCCTGCATGATGTTTAGCCTTGGCACCCTGTATGTATGTATGGAACAGGCATTATTGTCCAGTGGTCAATCTAATTAGTATAAACCTCATATGAGTTACACACAAGATGGAGTTTCATAACATTTTTTGCCCTTTTTTTTGTTCTTTAGCATCACATATCTCTAAGCATAAGAGTATTTTTGCTAAGAGGAATTTTCTTGAAACTGTAACTTAAAGTCTGTATGAAGATTGTATCTTGTTTCATTCTAGCATTCACCACTGCGAAATCGCAAGATTTGGCCCGTGCTGTGTCTGCCAGTGTGTTCTTCTCAGTTCTTGCCCTCTTTCTTGAAGTTTTTCCCTGGGTTATTGTCTTTATTCTTCACTTATTCTTTATGGTTGCGTGTGTTATGCAGGAAGCCTTGCAAATTTTCCCTGGAAAACTCATCACTAATAACTGAGCTTGAGTCTAGGCTGTGATCTAAGATATTGTTGTGGTGTTCTCAGGTACCTCACAGTCTACTGATACTTCCTATATTTTTCAGAATTAGAAAGAAATGCTTCCTAGCATTTCCTAGATTTTAGTTAGTGACTCCAGAAGAGTTGGATTGCACTGGGCAGTTATTTAACCTTTTTATTACCAGCGACTGATTTTCTCCTGTGTTTGAAGTCTCTTTTGATCCGTCGAGAGGGATGACTGATTTTTATTACTTACATTAATGGTGTCATGTCAAATAGTGTTTGCAATGATTTCCAAGAGGTGAGAAGGTGAAGGAGCCAACATATTACTATAAATGTGAACTATTGCCTCTTCTGTGCAGCAAGAAAAGAAGCTGAAAATAAAGGTTAATGAGCTGTGCAAAGCACAGTGGAAGTCGTAGAAAATGAAAAAAGAATTTAAACATTTGCATGGTACTTTCTAGCTTAAGTCAAGTCATCACATGCTTCAGAGCAGGCAAGGAGCTTTATAATTAACAACCTAGCCGATGTGCATAGTTCATTAAGATGTAATTTTTGACTGCAGTGTAGCTTGCATGTTGTGCCTGTCTTTGCAAGTCGTACCAAAACTGCAGCTTGATTTTGTGCTTGGGAGAAAAAATCAGTCAGTGCTCTGACTTCCTGGCTTGACTTCAGGAGACTTTCAGAAGACTTCTTTGCAATTGGAATTGTTTCCTCTCCTCCTGATAGGAGTACCTGAGAGAGGACAAATCAAGAAGCTGTGTGCAAGGTTTTCTTCTCAGCAATTTTTTTTTTTTTAATGAAAAGAAGATAAAGCAAAACATTAAAAAGCAGCTCTCTTCTGTAACTGCCTTTCATTGCTGTCAAACCTATTCGGCAGGAGAGCCGCGTGGGGCTGCAGGCTGCCGTGCGGCCCATCTGTGTCCCCCCGTGAAACAGGCACCACGAAGCGGGAGCTCGTCTGCCCTTGCCACTTCCATGTATTTGGCTGAGTTTTTATAAGTTAAAAGAGTATAAATTGGCACAGTAATGGCAGTGAAGCAGTTTGGGGTTGTACATATATGGTAATGGGCATGTGGGTGGCACACAGTTTAAAAACTTGAAATGGGCTTTTCATAATTAGTTCAGAACCACATGCTCTCATTTTTGGGGTTGCAGATATGATATTAAAAAATATAAATGGTTGAAAAATTAAAAGGTTCTCCACTGAAGTATGTCAGTGAAAATAGAGCTTCAAATAAAAACTAGCTTTTGGAATAGCCATGTTTTGCTAAGAAGCTGTGTTTTTATTACCTAGCTGCAGCCATATAATACGCTGTTGCACGGGCAGTGCTTTTAATACAAACTTCCATAGAGCTCCTGGTGAAAAAGTAAGTGGAATCTGTGTTATTTCTGTTTTGCTGCCAAACTCCAAAAGGGTCCAGATAGGCAGGATATGGGCCCCAAAACCTTCCCTGAAATTTAGATTTTGCTACCACTCTTAGTCTGTGAGGCAAACCATGAGTCATTCCTCTACAAATGTGATTTGCTTAAATATCATGGAATTTTTAAGTCCCTTAATGTTATTTTGTCTTACAGCCACAATAATACAAATATTGTGTGAAAATGAAAGCTCAAGTATTAGTATCATCAGTTTCATTCGAGGGATGGATTGTTTTTCCTAAAGACTGACTGTACGAGGGTAGAATTAAATCCACATTGCCTATGCAGTGACTCAGGGTTTGGACTTTTYCTGCACTTCATATAGGCTGTATTTGTCACGGCAAGCTTCCTATGGGTTTGACTTGGTCTTCTCCTTTTGTCAAGGATTTTTAGTTGTGGTAGATGTAAAGGTAGATATAAAGGTGTTCCAATGACACAGCTTTGGTTTGTACTATATTTAATAAGCATCTATATTTGTTGTCATCCTATCAGTTTAGATAAGACTAAGTAGTTTAGCTTAAACTCGATGTATGGGAAAGGTAATTCTGCTTTTTCATTGCTGCATCTGTCTGGGTGTTGGTACTTATGGGGGAAGATTGAAAAAGATACTAGTAGAGAAAAGAAAGGCAGCATCTTCCTGTAGAGCTAGAAACAAAAGAGAACTTGCTACAATAGAATAGCAGCAACTCAGTCTGGTTGCAARATAATAGTTTTTTTAATTATTATTTTAAACCTCAAGTTAATCAAGAGCTTTCGTTCAGTAATGAACTTAAAAGGAAAAATTGCTCATTTGATATCAAGTGGAAGAAACAAGAGCTGAAGGATGAAATGGTGGTTAGAGGACACTTTTGTTTTGTAGTTTAGCTTCTCTGCATTTTGTGAGCTTTTCTTTACTCCTTGTCAAAATGTGGTGACATAATTCTCCACTTTTTCAGGTTTGCATTGACTCTCTGCTAGTTATCATTCTCATTAAACCAAAGTGTGAAGAAATATGTAAAGATTGTTACAGATTGTGTATGGATTGATGTTGACAGATCTTGCTATTTTAGAAAGCAAAAAACATTGACTTGTTTAATTCCCCTTTAGGACTTGCATTTGCGCAGCACTCGATGAATCTCAAGCAAAGGCTTTGCATTCAGTGTTCAGTGCAGCCTGTCACTTCAAAGGTGCAGCAGCAATTTATTGGAGATGTAGCAGATTGGGTATTGGTGCCTTTGCTGGTTGAGTCGGCGTTGCAGAAGTTCACTGCCTGATTCCGCGAACCGCACCGCGCAGCGCTCCCTGTTAGGCATTCCAGGCAGGAAAGGAACTCGCAGGGCTCTCCTCGAATCYGAGTCCTCGGCAGACTCTGCTGTCTCTCCTCCTTCCTGCTGCTTCCCCTCCGTTTCTCCATCTTGCTTGCCAGGCCTTGTRGTCATCTAGAGATGTTCCTACCATAAAGTCATCTGGTGCAGCTGTATAGGATGATTGGTCTGTAGTCTGCATACGTTTTTGCTGTAGATAGTCCTGTGTCTGCCTACCTTTGTCTGCTTTTATCCAAAATGAGAGTGTCCAAATGAGCTGCTGTTAGGTGCAAGGTCCTGGGATTATTTTTAGCTGTTTGAAACTCAGTTCTGTTCTGACTTTCATCCTGAAACTGCTTCCTGAAGATAACTTGTTTCTGGATTCTTTTGTTCTTGCATCTTGGCAGAGAAAAAATAAACAGGCGTTTGTGGTCAAATAGAGGTATTAAATAAARGGATAAAAGGGAAGATCTGTAACTTTCAGTGTCAAGATGCCACACAAAATGTRTTACGTAACTCGGTTGCAGCAGGTTCGTGTTGAATGAACACAGGAGTCCGGAGGAGTTGGTCGAATCCTCTGCTTTGCCTTGTGCATATGGATGATGGGCGATGTAGCACAAGGGCGGCCTAAGAAAGAAACCTACTTTAAATAGGTGCTGTATGACCCATTTTCCTCTCTTGTGTGCTAGAATGTTCTGCTGCTGTCTTCTGGTTGTACAAGATGATTATCTTGAGGGCTGGTGCCTGGTGGGTTTCTGTTGATGCAAGAGGGGACAGCTTGGCACGAGAGCAAGTGCCAGCACTGGGCATTGATCTAGGGGAGGGTAAGGGAAGAAAAAGAAATGTAAATGTTACTTTGGATTTAATTATAATATTTAAATTAGTAAGAATGTAGGGTTTCCCAAGCTGTGATTTTTAGAAGAACTGTAATCATTTTAAGAAAACAAAGCCTAGCAACAAATGGTGTTGAATGTAGAATAAACTGGTATTTGAAGTGTGTACATCTGGGCATAGCAAATATGCAGCTTAATTTCCTAATTTGTTTTGGATCTTACCMCTTCTCTCCCCCCCGTCCCGTATTCCTCCCCGTTGCATTTTCTCCCTTTTGTGCCTACAACTGCACACATTATTAGAACTGGCACGCTGAGCACCTCCAGATGCATCCTGCAGGAACCCAGCCAATACCCACTCTATTCCCACATCAGACTGCCTGCCAAGTCAGTCCGGCCTGCTTGTCAAAATCCATTCCCTTCTTCTAAACCCAACTTCTCCCATACTATTTTGACACAAGGTCACTGATGATAACCTCAAGAATTGTCCCAAGCTTAAGGTATCTTTTAGTATGTTAAGCCATTCCAGTTAAAAATAGTATTTGTACTGTCTATAAAGGTCATGTTATGTTTTTCTGTCAGATGAGACAACTCGAGAGGTTCCGAGAGAGGATAGGTTTATCACACTCTGATTTTCACTGATCTTTAACTTTCCTTGATTGTTTATCTCCTTTGAATGAAAAGTCGCTAGCTTCACTAAAGATAATGCCTTTAATGCTGTGTTTTATTGCAATAAGATCTCGCCTTTTCCTTTTGGGGAAGATAGTACTTACTTTACTTACTCTTTCACAGGAATCAAACAACAGCATATCAACATTGCTGCTTCTACAGAATCTTTTCCTAATTGGAGATCTATACTGTCACCAACACGGCCTTTTGCAGAAACAAAGACTGCCTCAGCAGCTGACATTTCTATGGGACAGACTTTAGAGAACGCAAACCTGCTGCAGATGATAAGAACAACACTGTCGGGCACGCGCGCCAGAACTATGGATCAAACTAATCTTTCACCCACTCTTTATCAAGGCAGTGGRAATAGTGCGTCCCAGGAACCCACCGAAGTTTCAGCTGATTCACCTCTGAGATCGTTGTCTCAAGATGTGGATGAACCAGCTGCTGTATCAGGTTTGCCTCARCTTGGTATGTTGGCCACACTGTCCGCTACACCATCAGTGACACATTCAAGGACAGCTATGCCATTTCAGCTAATACCATTAGAAACACCTCCCATTTTAAAAGAAAGCACTTCAGGATCAGACATTCTTGCAGCTGCTCCATCACCATCATTCTTTTCATTGATAATCCAGTCATCTCATACCATTAACTTTCCTAAATCTGCTCTGCTGCCCATCAGACTGCCTTTGTCCACAGATCCTGACAGTTCCTTCAGCACAGATTCAAGCAACTCTCAGGTTAGTGAAAGCAGAAGTAATCCTCTGAKCCTGGTCCCTGTAGTAAATTGAAGTATGGTGAATCATGTGCTATCTAGAAAGGGCACATTTTTTTAGTAGGTACCTTGTCTTTTAATCTCTCTGGATCAACAACAATGCCTTTTCCAGAAATAATGGAAGTAGAGTTTCCTTCAGAAGGGACCTCTGTAGCTGTATACTCWGGAACTCCTTTGCTATTACTGCTGTATCCACCTTCCATACCAATAACTTCCAGAAGTGCATCATCATTTCCTAATAGAAGTATGTATAATGTGTCTTTTATTGGAGAAAAACACAACAACTGCCGATTTAAGGCACTGCTGGCTGACAGAGCAAGGGATACAGCTCCTCTTTCATCACCAGATTTTCAAAATAATGCAAATACTCTTGCATCGTTTTTTCATCCTGGGAGTACTGTGTGTAAAATAGCCAAGATGAGCTACCCTCGGCCTTCTACAGTGCTAAGTGCACTACAAGCCCTACCCGAGCAGCATTCATGTCATCAGATTCAGAGAGCCCAGTTAGGATCTCCAGCTGAACGGAGAACAYGCCTGCCCTCACGTTGCCAATCCTGTTTTTTCCAGACGCAGGTAACGCAGTGCTGCGAGTGCCGCCCTCGGAAGTGAGGCAGATTCCTCCTTAGAAATCCAGCACCCTCCTATTCACCAGGCAAGCCGCAGCCTGCGGCACGAGGCAGCCGCAGCCCTTAGGATGGCAACGCGCACGGGCAGCACGGCGCGTGGCGGCCTGGGGGGTTCCGTAGCCTCTCACCATTTCCTTGTGGCGTTGGGGCTCCTGGTGAGCCAGGCTTTCTCTGAACACCTGGCGGATGGGGCTTATGAAGGACATGCTGTGGCCAGCTGCTGCTGGCTTCTGCAATGGCAGGAACAGCTCAACAGTCTTCCATGAGAGAGATCACGGCAAAAATATCCGTAAGATGGATGCTAATAGCGTTCTGCCTTATGGATCTCTTTCCAACGTTTCTCCAGATATCTGAGCTAGGAAAATCACAACAGGATCAAGGATAAGAGGTAGGGTTTGGGGAGCAGAAATGGCTAGACCTCATCTGGCTGCAGTGTTGTTAATAACTTCCACTGAAAGCCTTTCGAAACCTGAGCTTGCTATTGCAAATWCCTCTGATACCTCTATGGCAGCACATCTTCCACCTGCTAATTCAAGAAGTCCGGGCAAAACCAAAAAYGAAGGAAGCGGTGTAAGAGTACTTGCTGCTGCAGCTCCACAGCCAGAGCATTCCCSTCTGTGAGCTTTAAAGCAGTCTAATATTTACCTCTGCTCATGCTTCACATTCAGTGGATGCAAAGCGCGTAGCCTCCGATGTGCCTGCAGAACGGCGTCCGTTGCCACCGTYTGTTTTCGTGGCAGAGATGATGGATTGCCAGCACGCAGGGTTTTCTGGTATTTCAAGTACTGCTCTGCAAGCAATTTAAAACCTGGAAACTYTCCTGAAGTTTCAGCGTCAGCATCTAAGGCACTTCTCTCTGCAACTAGCATGATTGTCCCTTCAGTCAAAATAKTAACAAGAGAAATTCCTCCAAGTATTTCTCTATTAGAAACTGAGTGCCATACATCATATTCAAAAAGTTCAGGCCTTCAAAATGTAAATAAGCAACCATTTTTCTCTGGTGCTTTAACAAACTATATATCTGCAACATCTAGTCAAGATGTTTCAAAATTAGCTTTCCCTGGAATGAAGCCTGATAGCTTCCCRGAATTTGGTATACATGCATTTGCATTGCAAACATCTGCTCAGTATTCAGYCCTTGCTCCTGCTATGATGATGCCCGCTGCCCTCCAGAAAGTCATGGGAATGCAGCTGAAAACTTCCCTCACTACTTCTCTGTTGGGAATACTAATGTTGCGTTAACGATACAGGTGTTTTTCCTAGTGCTCTGGAATCACAAACGAAGGTTGGAAAAGTCTCTTATCCAGTTAGCTTGGATGAGATCTTACTGTGAGCAAAGTCCCCCTTTCCAGTAGCTGGGCTCTCTTCTAGCTCAACTCACATACGTGGTTTTATTACTGAAGAAGAAAGCAGTTCTGGAAGTTGGCCAGAATTTGMAGGTACCCACAAAGACTCATCTGGCTCTTTGATTCTAGTTAATAAAAATCCAGCCACATTTAATATGGAAAAGTGGCACACAACCACACAAGTGGTACAAGACAGTCTAGCTCCCGATGATATATCCAATAAAGCTAAGCAGGGCATCCCATTGCAAACACCTATCACCAGTACTCCGCGGTCAGTCATCATAACTTCTGTCCATGCATCACCACCACATCTAACGTCTCCTTCTTTGCCAACAACCAACTTTACCCATTCTGTCATTACAGTGTTTTCTGGAGTGTCTTCTGGTGCAAATCCTACAGTAGGAACTTCAGAAGCAAAACAATTAACAAGAAAATCATCTCCAGCCTCACTAGTGCCGGCTTCTTCCTTTTCTGTAGGCACTAAGAACCCACCTTTGCCATCTGCGATGGCTTTAAGCACTCCAGTACTGACGCTAACAAAAAATGACACTACCACAAAATTGGCCTCAATTCTAAAGTCAGTAGCACCACATACAGATTTTCCTTTTGCAACACGAAACACAACTGCATCACTCATGGAGATGACAGCTATGCTTATACCCCCTGAAAGTAGCCCAGTCACAGCTTTCACACTTGCATCCACAGCACATGCACCAAGGCAGATAAAACCAACAGTAATTGACACCCAGATATTCCCCCGCTCAGAAGTCACCAAAACGTCAACCCCCTATCCGCTGACAATTACAGCAGCTTTGACATCTATTACAGCACCCGCGAAAGCAACTAGGCTTCCCCCTACTCCCGTGGAAAGCACTTCTGCTCTTCCTGAAACAGCAGCAGCTCCTCTGGCGGGCGGGACAGCGGCGCCGTCCCTGGAATGCCACCTCTCCGGGAACCAGATGCTCAGAACAGGTAGGCCTCCTCGCTGTGGGTGCGGACCAGGCACGGCTTCTGCTTGAGGGGCAGCTGGTGAGGAACTGGGAACGCGCYGAAGCGACGAGTAGCGTAGACCCTTAGTGCAGGGGCGGGTTTTGGTCTTTGTGGCAGAACGGTGCTGCTCCCTGTGGCTCGTAGCCGTGGGCTTTCACAGACAGGCTTCCTTAACCATAGGAACTCTCAACTCGAGCAATCTTGAGAGGTTTCCTTACCCCTGATGTCTAAGGAGTCCTTGTGGTAGCAGGGTGCACAACCAGAGATAAGTGAATGTCGGAGCTCTTGGGGAAAGGATAGGCCTTAAATTAAAGGGGTTTTGAACCTGCCCAGGCATGAATGAGGTTGGGGATAATGAAATAAGCAGGTTTTGGACCTAATTTGCTTTTAGTGGCTAAGAAGCCACTAAAAGTTGGCAGGAGCATGGTAAGCACAACTATTTGAAAAGATAGAAGGTGAGTTCAAAAGCTAGGCATCCAGCCTGTACATAGCGTAGACTGGAAGTACTTCAGTGTAGATGCAAGTCTCACTCTAATTAAAGAGAAAAGGAAAAAACTAGCGATGGTGCTATCATTTTTCTCTAGAGCTGTAAAATTAGCGAAAGATACAGATACTTCCAAATTGAAGATAATTTTAGTGATGGAATAACGCATTTTCTCATTCATCTAATTCTATTTGTGAACATACGAAGCATTTTCTCTTTATGTAGGCCTGCCCTTGCAGCATCAGCTCAATCATGTGGGGATGCTGTGCTAGTCTATCTGTGATCAAATAGCATTGTACCTCGCTCAGGCAGCGTGGCACGGACTTGCTCTTATTATAAGAGCAACTRCAATTGTTAGACCCCACTCTGGAAACAACGGGCTATTGTCACGAGAAGAACAGTGAGCTCTGGGCTGCTGCTGAGCCCCTGTAGTTCTTGCTCTCATTGCAGCTGCTGCAGATCATAGCTGCTTCCTGATCTCCTCTGAATTAGCACTGTCAAAATAAAACAATAGAAAGAAAGCAAAGAGTATGGTAATGTCTTAAACTACCATGCAGCTTTTTGTTGTTGTGCAGTTCTGCTTCTGAACACGAGGAGGTTGCTGATGAGCAGCTCCTTCAGGGAGAGTGTGACAAAAGGACTGAACCAAATGTTGAGACAAGCCTTCAACCAAAACGTCAGCGCTCAGGTAAGCAAGCTTGGTTTGCCTGTGAGATCACACTGAAACAGCCCTCACACCAAGAATAAATGATACACTTTTATATAAAGCATCAGTGTCCTTTTTTGTGGGTGGCAGCAGCATCATGACAAGCTGCAGGCTTAGATTTGCTTATTTCTACATGGGCTGTTCTTCCTCCTTTTGGCAGATGGCTCGTGGTTTCAGTGTCCCTCCTGTCTGTGTTTACACCTTATTCCAGTGCTCTGCCCCAAAACATAAGCACATGAAAGTACATGTTGCTTATGGGCCCTATGAAGCTGAGCAGTTTGGCTTTGTCAAAGCCAAACACCAAGTCTTTCTGGAAGGAGGTAGAGACTGTAGCTGACCAGCTAGTGTCACATATTCCCGTGATGGTGATGAGTCTCTGAGCATCCCTCCTGGTGCTCCGTTTGCACATAGTGCAGCAGCAGTTGCAGGCTGGGGCTGTTGCAGTTGCACATAGGCCAAGGGCCTGAAACACGGGACACTGTTTGTTCTTGATTTTGGAACTCAGAAATAGAAGTCAACTGAAGCAGAGAGCACAACCAGGAGAGCATGGGATTTGCTGGAGGAGAGGAAGGTGATGTGGGAGGCAGAGTCTGGATGTTAGTAGATGGCACAGTGGCCCCCAGTSGCAAACTGCAGCAGGTCATTCACACCTTGCAGCTGGACAGGTCTGCTCTCAAGTGCTAAATACCCATCTGTCAGGAGRTGCACAGCACGGGCAGCCTGGATTTGGGCAGTGCAGTGTTTGCCAYCATTAATTCCATGGTCTGACCCATATCTTTAGTAATTTTGTGTCTCTCTCTGGATTGAAAATGCCATCTTGCAGGGAAAAGAACAGGGCTTTTCTTCGGAGGGCAGGCATAGATGGCTGCCACTCTGAGGACCACTCTAAGGCTTTTCTCATTTTTTTTGAAAAAGTAGGCAAAAAATGCAACTTTCTTTTTGCTATTTTGTGGGAAATGTCTGCTGACAGCAGTTACACTGACTGCTCCTGCAGTTTGGGAGTGACTGCGGTTAAACAGCTTCTGCACGTAGCCTAGATCAGTTGCAAGAGCAGGGCTGCTAAATGGGATGTCACTGCTGTCAATCCATTCCTTGTTCCGAATCACAATACCTGATAAGTTCAGTTCCCCAGGGATGAAAATCCTGAGCAGAGAGAAAATGTGTTTTGTTGAAAATAATTGAAAGATATGTTCATCACTTTCCACCTAAATGACATGAAACTCTGCATCGTTGAATGTAAGCCCAGACCAAAATAGATGTCTAGCACAATATTGTGTGTAAAAGAAGCTTCCAGAGATGTTGGGCAGGGGTTTATGCAGAGCACACGACTGTCATAGGAAGAATACTCATGAAATAAGGGGAAATGGGGAAGGTAGTTTTGCTCAATGTGGAGAGCATGAGGTTTGCTTTTGCCTCCGTGTCCTATGCCTGCAATTTCAGATCATGTAAACCAGTTCAGGAGATGCAGATTCCGGAGGGTCTCAGAAACCACAGTAGAAGCTGTCAAGTTATTCCCCTCAGGGTGTAAACCCAAAGGAGGATTCCAGCTCAAACGTAGTGTGGAGCCCAAGTTACAAGGCTGGCATTTCCAAGAAACTGTAGATTTTTGAGGTAAAACGTGAACTTCCTGTTCTGGCTCTCAGTCTGTTCATTCTTGTGGTCTGTCATCTGGCAATGGCTTATCTTTGAGAGAATGTAGGATTAAGTAGGATGGAACAGTCTGAGGTTGAAACACTGGAAAATTTTGCCCTTAAGAAAATATAATAATATCAAAGCTGCAAAGGCAGACACTTGCACAAAATCAGTGAACTACAGGTATGAAATAGGTGATAGATGGTCTCTGAGTTCCCTGTAGTTTTAGGTTCGCAAGTAAATGCCCCTTTATGTGAATGAGGCCCCAGTGTAAATTAGAGTTGCATGAGCAGTGGTAACAATACTGCAGTGCCTTAAGTAGGAGCACATGTTGTGTGGGTTGGGACTAATGGTCCCTAATTGCTTCTGTTAATGCCATGCTTGATGCAATGTTTGCTATAAAGTTTACAGGAGGTTACCCAAAAATGTCCTGCAAGGGATGCACATTGACAATGAGAACTCTAGTTGAACAATAATTATAAAATGTTTTTTCCCCTGTTTTAGGTTGAAATCCTGGAACAATCAAATAATGTAACAGTGGGTTACTATGTTACACGGGAGAAGCTGGTTTTCATGCCAGCTGCAGTAACTGAAAGGCTTGCTGCTTATGGCATCAGCAATGCCACAGCAGACATAAAGCAGCACGTCCCAAGTCTCCAGTCTATTGCTGTCCTGGCCTTGCCATGGAATCCCCTACCTGCATACCACTTCCAGCTGAAAACTGGTAAGCAGGAGCCTGTTCTTGGTGAGAACGGTTGCATATTTTGCTAACAGTTCAGGCCATATTTGCTAGGAGACTCCTCCTCTCGGTGGTGTTTTCCCATCCTCTTGCGTCCTGGGTAACAACAGGAAGTAGCAAGACAAGCTCTGCTACAGTTTAAATGTGCCCCATCCCAGTGTGAGTGGGATTGCCTGTGCCTAAGGCCTTGTTCTTCTGTGCACAGGGAAAGTTAAAATTCCAAATGACCGTCTCAGCCCTGTAGAATATTCAGTATTCTATATATTCTATCAATATATTCAATTCAGCATATTCAATTGTAAAGAGATTTCTTATATGTGCTCTCATATATTTACATACACATACATTAGGCAGTTACCCAGATAAGCATTTTTTTTTCTAGTGCAAACAGAATTAGAATTATGTCTTGTAAGAACCAGTGACTTGCAAGATTTAAGAGTATAGCTACTGTTTTAAAACAGCTTTCACGTAATGCCATCTTTGAGTAAGCATCTGTACAGCAGACTGGTCTTACCATCTTATATATTGCTATAGAAACAGTCTCTGTTGATTTGTCCCAGGTCTAATAATGCAATCCAATATTTGTATTTTATTTTAATTAAGGATAATTTACAGTGGTACTTAAATGTCGTCTCCTGTGGCAGTATTTTCACCTGATTAATTTGTAAATTGATCATTTTCCTCTCAGACGTTATTAAGAGTTATGTGGCTAATGTGTAAACACATTTTTCCTTTTCTAGAGCTGCAGTTTGTAGGACAGACAGACAATATACAGTCATGCAAATTTGTTCAGACCATGGAGCAGCGATTACAGAGGGCATTTCAGGATGCTGAAAGAAAGGTCTTAAATACCAGCAACGACTTAACAGTTCAGGTATAATGCTGGTTGCTTTGCCAGTGCTTGCTTTCAAATGCTCTTTGCTGTACGTGTGTTTGTATTTCAATATAGTATCTTTCATAGCCAGTTTGGAAGTAGATTTATACTGTCATCTGAAAGAGGCAAGTTTTATGTATTGTTTATAGTTGGTCATTAAATATGGTGTCATTAGATTTGGCCATTGGAAGAGTCTGATATGGGGAGGAGAGCAGGCGGCAAAGCAACATTAGGAAAGAAAGAGGAGAGGCTTTCACTTCTAAAGGAGAAAGAGAAAATCTAGATGACCACACTGGAATGGTAGCAGACAGAGACAAACATGCCTGATTCCTCAGCACCAAAAACGTTACAGTATTTTTCAGATAATCTTCCTCTCTCTCACAGTTCTTGTTCAAGAGATGGAGAAAAAATGTCTTCTGTCAAAGTGTCTTTTTATGCTCTTTTCCAAAAACTCTTCATGTACTAAGCAAGGAATTAAGTATCACAGACTGTTTTCACAAGAATATTGTGTGAACTCTGTGTAGTCAAGTAGTCTAGTTAAGTTTATTTAATTGACCTGAAAGACAGTTGTTATTCATTATTTTGCTTCTGTTTCAGATTCTGAATACTTCCAATGTCTCCCAAGCTGTCACTCTGTTTTATGTAGTCAGTAATCAAAGTACAACTCTAAATGGTACCATTTCCAGCAACCTTCTTAATCAGCTCTCGGCTGAACTGGTGGGATTCTATCTAACCTACCCGCCCCTCACCATTGCAGAATGTAAGTATCCCATCTCGACACAGAGCTCGCTAASATTAGCCATCCCCATGCATTTGATTTGCAAGCACCACAAGCTTTCTCATGAGACTAACAGACAGTACTTTTTGGCTGACTTGACCCTTTTTTTCAACCYTGACAGGTAATTCAGAAACAGCATGTATATGCTCTCAGTAATAAACAACTGTGCCACCTTCCAAAAGAAATTGTAGCTTTATTTAAAACAAAAAACACAGAATCTCTCCAAGTGTCCATTTCAGAAAAACTTAACTACRTCACATAAAGTTCAGAACGCCCTTTAGCTACAAGAAAGATTTAGCCTCCAATACTTGTTTCAGTAGGAGAACTTGCTGGCAGGCTTTGGATGCCTGCATATCTGGAGAGTGGTGAGTTCTGCTTACGCATTTCCTTCAAAAAAAAATGATGGCAAAGAGTTTGCTGAACTTCACGCTCATTTAGACGGTGTATGCATGAGTGCCCGTAATTCACCTGGGTTTCAATTGCTGTGGAGATTCAGACTGGCCCCTGTGAGCTAGAGGAGGTTGTGCACCTGGACAGCCTGTATGGTGTAAGTGCTCTTGGACTGTATGCTAATTTCTGTAAAATGAATAAAGAGGCAGGGCATTTGATTATGGAGAAACCTGTTTAAGCTGTTGGTTAAATTCAGCGTGTGAAATTAAGCTCTCTATAGGAAGAGATTTGTGTTCACTGAAGTTGAAGGGAGACAAAAAGCCATAATGGAGACATTAGTGCCTGGTAATGGACTTGAGTTGAGTAAGGGCAGGTTTCAGCTGATTTCCCTGTGTGTTAATCTTCATGAGATAATCGTTAAATTTAAAATGCTGTGCTCAAATACATCTCATTAAGCTTCTAGTAGGTTTCAAACTCACGGGTTAGGCTGAAACAGTGACAAAGGAGTTTTAATTTTTAATGTCAGAAGTAGTAAAATATTAGGCATATAAGTAGAAAGCTCAGCATACCTTTATGGTCAGAATACTAAAGGAAGTAGTTTTGTAGCTCCAGGTAAAATCATTAAAGTGCTTGCTTATTTTCTGGTTCCTAAGAGACTGTTGAAAAACTAGAGAAAATATGGTACCGTTTTAGCTGTATGTCTTACAAAGGAATCATCAGCAGAATAATGATCTTGTGCAACATTTGAGTTTTACTGTGAATACTCTGTCTGTTAGGTAAGTGACCTCTTTCCCGTGTGAGTAGGTCAGGCATCACAGTTAACGCTGGAGATGGTGCAAATCCTTGCTTTACACTGGAAGCATGTATTATTCTTGAGACCTTACCTGTCTGTAAGGTTTGCAACCAAACGTCTGTRAGTGAAACATTAAGTGATGAATTATTACTCTGCATTAGTGCACTCCCATGTCAGATTTAACGAGCTGTCTTTTGGACAGCTAGAACGAGCTTGTGAGAAAACTGCTGCGTGTGCAGGACTTGTCTTCCTGTCCAGGAGCCCGAGCAAAAAGCCCAGGGGTGTTTGGAAGGTGTTCTGCTCTGTTCAGCATTTGGCCTGTTGCACCAGGAAGGGATTGTGGCACCTTTTGCAAAGGCAGCACACGGATGTACTTGTTAGTCAGGAGTGGTGCAGGTCTTTAGTCACACAGGCAGGCTCATGTGGTCCTGCAGTTCTCTGCTGATGCCAGCACATGATTCATTGACCTGATAGAGTCTTTAGCCGGTGCTCCTTTTACAAGTAATGGCTTATATTTCACGTTGAAGCCCTTGGTTGTATTCCCAGCACAGCAGGAGTATGGCAAGCTTAATGTGCATGTAGTATTTATGGTAGTTTGTGTTGTGAAAGTGTTTGCTTAGAAAAGTGCTTGATGCTTATTCATGTGGCAGTGCAGTGGCTTTAGCTTATCAAACGGATAATGATGTCATTTGCAGAATCTGTGATTTCCCAATAGACTCCTGCGACTCCTTTATAGGAGTCTTTATAGTCTGTGTTAGAAATGCAGAGCTAAAGGCATACAATGAAATTCCTTCTCAAAAGCATTTACTCTGCATAATCTGATGTTTTTATATTGTTTACTATTTCAGAATTTTAAAAGCATAAGGTGACTAAATATCAGTGCATCAACATGAAAAGCGTGGATTTCTTGGGATTTCTTAATTTCTTGGGATTTCCTAATGAAATCCCAAGTATTAATGCTTTCCATCTTGCATCATTCTGTTGAACAAAAAGTGCTGATCTGTGTAATAAACTAACACCATATTGAATTTTACAGCCTAATGCACTTTTGAGTTGAAAAAGTTAACAAAAAAAAAATCAAAATAGTGAACATAAGTTTCTCACAGATGTCAGGACATATGGTAATGATACCTTAAATGGTACAGTCGTGTTGTGCTTTCAATATATACACACTACACTTTAAGGCAATTTTCAATTTTGTAAATATTGCTTTTAATTCATACAAGTCTGTTTTGCAAAGCATACGTGCACTACATATAGGTATATATAAATGTATTTTTAAATATATGTATGTGTGTGTGTATGGGCACATGTAAGGTAGTGCATATGTTAACACACTCTGACGCACAGAACAGGATGGGTTCTTAATTTGCTTAAATTCTTTAGATTGTTTTCGTAATATCTCCTTTAACCTGACTTGTGCAGCAGTTCTTCTCATAAGGTGTCCCATTCTGGGATTCCATGATAAACATTATTATAAGTGCATTTCTGTGTTAGTTCTCTCAGAAGCCAGCAGAAGACGTTTCTATTCTCACTGTTGCCGATCATCTGGAGATGGATGGGAAGTTTTTGTGGTTAGAAACCTAACATGACACTTCCTGGTAGATCAGGGCGATGAGGGTTCGGTGGATAAACTAGAGTTTGGCAATACCCTCTGAGTCATGGAGACTTAGCATCAAATTCTGGCCTGACTTAAGTAAGAATTAGGTCATAGAATGTCAACTTTTCCATAAGGATTCCCAAAGAGAGAAACCTGCGTGTATAAAACACACATACAGGTATATTACACATGATTCTTAGTTATGAGCAATGCTTGGCTTTGCCCCAATGTACTAACCATTTTTCTTTTTTGCAACAGCAGATACATGTTCTACTTTGTACAGCATTYCTGCTATTTACTGCTTTCTCAGGCAAAAGAGAAATTGTGGTCTTGGAATGATATTATGCCTCTGTATTTCTTCTGGGCTGAGCAATAATGTGTTATCCCCAGTATGATGCTCATAGAAAAGTSAAAGTTCAGTTTTATTTATCAGTGTTTGCTTCACCAAATATTTTGGGGTCGTATAACGTATAGGATGTTGCAATATTATGAAATAACTTCAACTTTTATTTTAAAGCTCTGGAGTATCCAAATCTTGATGTCTCTGAGTCAACTAGAGACTACTGGGTGATCACAGGTACTTTTAAATCTCTATCCCTCTTCCATGCACGTGAGAGAATAATTTTTAGTGCTCAATTCTATAAACCCGTTTGCACAGTAATTTTACAAGCAAATAAGTGGCTACTCACTGAACTTTTTTTTTTTTTTTTTTTTTTTTTTTTTTTGCATTCAACTGGACAAATTACTTAGTTACCCTTGGAGATAACTGTGATTTGTTGGCCTGACAGAGAAGTCTCCTGAGTCCAGGTCTTACCTCGGAATTCACACCACTATGGGCTTAAGCACTTAGGAGAGCAGCATTACGCTTGCAGAGATTTGAAACAAAAATGATCTCCTTCCAGCTTCTTTCTGGGACTTAAATTTAAAWCTGAAACCCAAAGAGGACTACAGATAGAACTTAGGAAGACAGGTGATCTGCTAAACCCAGAAAGTTTGCTATGATTCACTGACTGTGTTTGGGTCTGGGAATTTCTGCATCTTTCTGCATCTAAAGTATTAGGCACATAATATCATGGAAAAGAAGATAGAGAGAATGCTGTTAGATTTCAGAATGCTTGTTTTGGCAAAATCATCTTGCCAGTGTCATGTTTGCATTCACAATCATTTTGACTTTAGAAGTTGTAAGTGGGCAAAAACAAGACCCATTTCTCCCATCTTTGTGTCAGTAGAGATCAAAGTCTCTCTAATCAATGTATCTACACCTGGAATTGTTAAATGACCAGGAGCCTACATCAAACTTTTTTTTAATTAAAAAATGATTTTTTAAAGTGTGTTTCCAGTATCCAGTGTGATTTGATATCTGTTATATCTATTTATATTTTTGAGATTAAAAATAAATATATGTGGAGATTATCATCCTCTGAAGGAAATGGTAAGGTTCCTTCCCATTTGCATCCCACCACCCTGATATTCCATTTCTTGCCTGTGTACACTCACTGTAATGGAATATTGTTGATACTATGATGGACACTTTTTTCAAAAAAAAAAAAAATCAGTATGGTCACAAAAGAATTTTAAAGTAATTTTGAAAAAAAAAATCACACATTTGTATGAATAAAATTAGCATGCCATTTCACTTATTTGTACTTTATTTAAATTCAATGTCTTTGATTTTTCCATTCATTCACTCTTGGGAAATGTCTGTCCACAAATAGTTTTGATCAGTGTTTAGTGCTTTCAAATACAGCATACCTTGTTTTAAACTGACCTCTACAAAATTCTCACTTCAGATTTCCAAACTGCTGGATGAAAACTTCTGCTTAAGAGAAGCATCTAACTGTTCTTTTGATAAGCATTAAAACACGGCAGCTCTCAAACAGGTTTCTRCTTAATGGGTTACTTATATTTTACATTGAGGGTTATAGATCGGGTGCTTCCCAAAGCCATTTTGGTAAACCAAGAATACTGGAGTATTTTATTCTTTGAATGTTGGAACGTCATTCAGAGATCATCTGAGAAGAACAGTGCAGTGACTGATACACAAGCACATTATACCCCATAGGGAATTACTGAGGGGTGAAATGATATCCAGTTATTTTTCTAGCTAATTTTCCAAGCTAGTTAGTGTGTCGTTAGCACAAGCAGCCCTGAAAATCATGTGTTGTTTAATCTGTCTGTGGGAGCYGTGCTGATGCCTTGTGTTTCCATTCCCACAGTTATACAAGGGGTAGATATTACGCTGCTGGGACTGAACAACCAGAGCTTTGCAAGATTAATGGAGCAGCGCTTGGCCCCACTCTTCATGATGTCCCATCAACAAGGAAGACGGTTTAAACGTGCCACTACAGTGGGCAGCTACACTGTGCAGGTGGTCAACAGGACRTAAAAGGCTGTGTTTTGCATGTGTAGTGCCTGCGTGTGTGTGAAAATGTTGAGCAGGGCTGAGATTTCCTGTCCTTTTTCATGAATGCCAGAGCAGTGAGTGCAATATGCATGCCACTACTAAGGAGTTCTAGTCTACAATCAAACTTGTTTCTATGTGTCTCATCTTTTGAGAGCTGACATTAGTTAACCAGTACTAATAAATGTTTTCTCTTGGTTTCCCATGAAGACTATGAAGATTAATACAATCCATGTACTTTAGGGTAAACAGTTTCATATTCAATGTAACCAAGAGTTCTCTTCTTTGTTATTAAAGATGGAAGAAAAAACTCTTGAAATTCTTACCTCTTCCACTGCAGAGGTAATTCTATAAAAGCTAGAACTCCTTTTTTGCCTTTTTTTGCTTTTTGTTGAAATGCAGTATGAAGCAGTCTTTATACAGTATTAATCTTCAGATCACCTGGTCACAGATCCTATTCTGAAAMAGGATTTTGAGCCCTGAGTGGATTATTGAATGCTTTTCTGTTTCTTCTATTCAGCATTCTATTCGGCAAAAGGTTTTTTTTTGTCTTGCTAATATAGTCAGCTGTTTCTAGCTGTGTAAGTTCAAACTGGGTCTGTTTTCAAAAACTGCATGTCAGGTTACTGCTATTTTCCTTTGGTTGTTCAAGACTTGCTTATTGTGAGATATAAAAACAAATTCTTCTTTTAATATGCCCCTGATAGTGTGTATTCTCAACCTGAAAGAATTTTAAAATGAAGGTACCCATTTTTATTTGCTGAAAATAGAAATCTTTGTAAGATTTTCCATGAAAATGGGACRTATTTTAGTCTGTAGCATCCTGGGGAAAAATGACAGTCTCCCCATTTCTCTCTCATCTTTAGGAGGCTGACACTTCCCCTATCCTCAATAAAGGTAGAGTTGCACTTCAAAAATTCTGCTGGTGCTCTGCAGAACAAAACCAAAAGACCATAGTTCTTTTTATTAATAAAAGTCTAGCATCACAAGTAATGGGTATAGAAATAAAATATGAAGGGGGTATTTCTCAATAGGAATATGCCAGTAAAATGTAGTTTTCCACTTAGAGACAGATTTCAAAATATCCTTCCTTTACAGAGGACTGAAATGTCCACACTGGATCCTTTCCTCCTCTGTGTACTGCAAACTTTCCCTAGTATGGGGCTATGCATTGCAATTATGTTTAAAGAATTTTATTAAGGCARTCAGTGCTTGAGAGTCTTAATTCTAGTCTGTAAGGAGGAGAAGTCCCTATCCTATGAGAGTATCTGCATGGAGCTTATGCCTTTAGGGGACCTAATGAACTTCAAGGAGTTCTGTGTGTCCTGCAGTTTTGATCAATTGCAATGATGTAATACAAAGACAGTTTATTTCTTTTTCTCTATTTTTTTTCCCTAAAAGATGGTAAAAATCCAGCGTATTCCAGGACCCAAAGAGCCTGCTGAGCTGACGTACTACACTCTGTACAACGGGAAGCCTTTGCTGGGTACTGCAGCTGCCAAAATACTGAGTACTGTTGACTCACAGCGAATGGCCTTGACGCTCGGTTATGTCATTCAAGTTCAAGCTGATCGTAAGAATCCTTTAAAAATATTTCTGTTTTCATCTCGCTTTCCTCTCTGGAAAAAAAAAAAAAGAAATAGTTGTGTGAGTCTGTTGCTCACGCAAGAAGGAAACATACAGAAATTATGACATTGGTTAGGTGAGATTCTCAGACTGTAATATTTGAAATGCAGGAGGCACAGTTACTTTTATACTTTCTTATGGAAAAAGACCAACCCGCCTCATCTGGGGCACAGTATTTGTATTCTTTCTTTGTATTCTCCCAGGAATGTGTTTTATGTACACTCCATTTTGCTTGCTGTAATTTCTATTACAGCAGAATGAAAAGTTTGGCAGCAAGCACAGTAAGGAAAGAAACCTGCCCTCAGGAGCTTGTAGTTGGGCTAGACAGACAGATAAATAATATTTATCTTTCTCTTTCATAGGTGAGGGAGTGAGCAAAATCAAAGATTGCTTCAAAATCTGTTCAAGTGCTGTTGCTCTAAATGAAGCCTGGGTTTGACTTATTCAAGGTCACATTGGAAATTGATGCCTGAGTTAAAATTTCAAACTGGAATTCCTAAGCTTTGGTGATTAGCCATAAGGTCATCTTTTCCTCTCCATTCTCTAGAAATAAAAATAATTTTTTAGCAATTGGTTGCTGTTAACCCAACAGCAGTCTGTAATTAGGGTTAACATTGGCTGATAGAATTAATTCCTCTCTCCTTCCCTCAAGAAAATACAGCCCTTTCATTCCCAAACTGTGTCTTCAAAGTCAATAATTTAAAATTATATATGTTCATTGAAAAGTGAACCTTGAGCAGTTACTTAAACCTAGACTTCTGGCTTTTTGGAGTTTTACAAAGCCTACAGTTACTGTGACACTGTGTGCAAAGTGGGTACCCAGTGGTACCTTTCCTAAATAAACCAACAAATTGCAGTGGCTTTGCAAAAAGTTGTGGGTATATAAAGAATATTGGYTCAAGCTTTAAGCAGACTTTCAGCTAGCTCTCATAACTGCAGCTCAATGAGATGATGTGTATTTGAAGTCTGACTCTAAAAGATGCTAAGTGCCTTTGACAGCTAATAAGCTCAATGACATTTGGAAGCAGTAGTCCCCTAGGTAATGATGGAAATACTGTTTTACTTTGGTATTTTCACAATTGCCTGTCCATGCCAGTGACCGGTAGCATATGAAAATAAGTAGAGAAAGCAGAGTGAACTCAACAGATTTACTTAAACAAAATTCAGACTCAAAATGTGATTATCTTTTTTTTTTTTTTTTTTTGAAAGAAATGAAGTGAGAGAACTGTATTTGTGTTATGGGAAGTTCTTAGGTGCATACAAGATGCACATTAGGAGACTTTATGTTGATAAAATAGAATCCAAAATGTGTTTGCACCATTGCACTTCTGAAAAGTACCTTTTTTTCCTCGTGTCATTATTAATATATCTGCAAATAGTTCTTTCCAATTTGGTAATTCTCTGTGAAATGCTAGACTTTTGAACTTAAATATAGCAGAATATCTCCAGAGGATGAGAAAAGCATTTTCTCATCTTGTGTTTCTTGTCTTGTAAAGAGTTGGGCCAGTTTATCCTAGCTGAGCTAGTAATTCTGTGACAGCAGCTGTGGACTCAGTACTTTTAACTCATGTGCTGCCTTACTATGGACTCTTTTTACTTTGTAAAGCAAGTAAAGACAGAATGTTGCACCTTTTTCTGTTTTCTCTGTAAAGAGCCATTTAAGTCGTATCTAGTGTCTAGGTTTGGAAGATGATGGCTGCTTTTGCAGCTGGCTATAATTGAGAAAAGAGCTCAAGGATATGCGAATTGAGCAATGCAAGCTGATCTTTTTACTTAAGAAATCCAGAGATACTGATAAGATAGCAGCAGTGTTTTTATACTAATGATTACATGGTGGCTGTTGAAGACTAAACAGTCTTCAAGCAATTGGAATAAACTGCTTGCTCAGTTGCAATTGGAATAAAGCAATTGGAATAAAGCAATTGGAATAAAACTGCTTGCTCAGTTGAAGAGAGGAATGTTAATGTTGTTCTACATTTTTCTGTAGCTGTTGTGAAAAACCCACCAAACAACCTGTGGATCATTGCTGCAGTGCTTGCCCCCATTGCTGTGGTTACAGTTATCATCATCATCATTACGGCAGTTCTGTGCAGAAAAAACAAGAATGACTTCAAACCTGACACCATGATGAACCTGCCTCAGAGAGCTAAGGTGAGTGACTAGTCTGCAGATCAAGGCATTCATTTTCTTTCCTGAAGTTTTAATTCTGTAGATTCTTTGCTAAATATACTTGGAGGAAGAACATCTGGGGTTCAGAATGTCATTGCTCACAGGTTGCATCTTGTACTTCTGTACTCTGTACTTCTCTGTCCTGTCTCAGTACTGAGTCTTCATTTTTACTCAGGACTCTTCAGATACCTTCAGAACTTGTTACTTACTGCACAGAACAGCTGTTAGCCAGTGGTGTAAGGCACTTTAGCCACTAAAGCTCGGTGTGCTTTATTCAGAGCATTTGAGCTGGCTTTATTTGGGGCATTTGTTTCTTTCATGAAGTTGAGATGCAAGTGAGGAATATCGGACCYGTGTCTGTTTAGCACTTGTGCCTTAGAACTTCATTCTCTGCTGCAGAGCCTGAGCTTCTCCTGAGCTCCGTGTGACAAGTGGAGTTCTAGTCCCAATACCCATCCAGGTGGTAATTCAGAAAAGATATGCAGTTTTTCTTTTTTTTTTTTTTCCCCTGGGATAATAGACTGATCCGCCCGCTCTGTTCAGCGCTGCTTAGGCCACATCTGGAGAACTGAGTGCAGTGCTGCGACCTCAGCATGAGGGATGGGGAGCTACGGAGAGAGAGCAGCGTAGGGMCGCTGGGCAAACCTAGGTTAGGTAGTTTTAGTTGCAAAGCATATATGTATGAATCTACTGATCCTTCCTCCTTCTGGTTGCCTTTACTCTTTTCTGTTGGCATGGGATTAAAATGATAACATTTTTCTTTGGCTTCTTCTTGATATAGACAGCAGGAATCTTGTGATTTCAGCTCTGTGCTTGCACCAAAAAATGAGGATGGAGAGTTGAGAGAAGGCATAATTCATATGACAGCTCTTTCCTCCTCATCTTAAGTTAGTAGCAGATGGGTGGGTGTAGCTGGTGGCAGTTGAAAGCATAMATTTGTAGCAACTCTTCAAAAATGCTACAAAAAGACMGTTCCATTTCAGCTCCAGTATGCAGATCCATTTTCCCTGCGTTATTAAAATAATATTAAAACTAGATTGGAAAAGGCAAAACGTGCAATATCACAAATAAAAATKAATACCACTGCAGTGATACCCTAYGCTGTCTCTTTGAAGCCTCTAAAATTTGAATCATCTTCTAGTAGGAATTGTCACAAATATGGTGCACTACTTAATTCTTCATATATGCCACTGTAGTCCTAGCTAAAGGACAAAGAGGGACTAAGTTTGTATGTTGCTTTGAGCTGGCAGTCATTACCGGTTGCTTTTTACCTGAAAAAAATTGATGCAATTTAAAATAATGTTACTGGCTGATCATTCAAAAAAAAATAGAGAAAGTCAAATTTTGACTTTTCCTTAGAAACCAGATTTAATCAGTCTGTAATAATCTATAATATATACAGTCAGGCTGAAACCTGTTCAATCAGACTGTGTGTGAGCAAGCAGTGTAGTCACACAGAAGCTGGATGTGTCAAGTAGAAGCAATTGAGGGGAGCTCCTACCCTCCACGCTGTGCTCATTTTGGGATGTTTTACTGCAGACCTGCTCTGCTTTCAGGGACTGACTGCCCTTCAGCACTGCAGTGCTGCAGGTGCTCTGCAGAAGCACATTTTCCATTGCAACTTCATCTGAAAGGAAAGCATAAGCTCTGAGGTCACTATACCAGGTCACCCAAAGTGTGAACAGTGGGGTTAAWTTGGAGATTCATTTCAAAAATGCAGTCCTGATCTAGCCTAGAATGCTAATATAGATGCCATACAACTTCAGATTATTTTGGTATATTTTTAGAATTCATAAAATCTAATTTAATTTGTTGCATAGAATGTGATGCATTTCCAAATGAAAGCAAATGTGATTATGGTTTAGTTTCACAGGAATGGTTCGAGCAAAAGGTTCAGCCTTTTGCTCTATTTTAAGGTATATACTTATTTGTGGGCTGTGGAAAATRAATTCTGCAGCAAGATGGGAATGGCCTGGTTTAGTCATTCCTGATTTTAGCTTGACTTAAAATAATGGTAAGAAATGGATTTAGGGAAGATAATGAAATAAAGTCATCCTCAAAAGAACTGTTTTGTTTTTAGTTCCAACATGAGTGGCATTGGGAAGAGCACTAGCACTTGAACTGTGATCACAACATTTCCTGCAGCTTGCCAGGGCAAGTAGCTGATGAGCACATACCTCCCCCAATTAAAAATGAATTATTAGATTTCATTGCTTAGATAAGTGCCTGCGACTGTTTGATTAATGCTGAATCTCTTCTGTGAATGGAGTTACAGCAGAGTTTAAGAAACAGAACCCTCCGCGATGCGGGCACCGGCACCTTGCTGCGGCTCCCCACCTGCGCGCCATTTCTGACATAAATTCTGCTGGGGGACATTCCCGTGGGAGCTGATTATAATACTCTCTCGATAGTGTTTTACTGGGAGATACTGTATTCTTTGGTGGCTGTGGGTAGATGTTTGCTAATTCTCAGCCACCAAGCAATTGTCACCAAGGCAATTTGCTAATTCACAGCAGGCGTTTTGAAAGGCTGTACGCGTTGGTCACCTGCCCTTTCTTCTAGCACGTGAGCGAATAAGCTTGCAGGTAAACAGCAATGTGATCTGCTGTCTGAGTCCCTCAGGCAAGAACAAATACTGCGTGCCATGAGAAAAAACACTATCAATTTGATAAAAGATGAGTGGGGAAAAAAAAAAGAGCAGAGAAACTGTGTGTACATGGGTATATATAGAGAGAGGGACTGTGCTCTTTTTTTTTTTTTTCTCTCTTTTTTTTGAGGTAGTGGTGTCTTTTTCATTGTGCAGAACAAGCTCCCCGTGTTTGTTCTGCCCTTTTGCTGGCGATGTGGTTTAGGAGTCGCTCCTGCAGTTACAATTCCAGCAGCAGCGCTAAGTTCGGGAGCGCTGGCTGCCCCGGCCCGCGGCTCCCCACTGCGCCCTGCAGCTCTCGCCTTAGCCTTGCCAGCTGCCCTAGGCAGGAAAGCCACCAGATGGTCCTGCGGCCCTTTGCTGAGCAGAGCTCCAAGATCCAAGTTTATTTAACACAGTGTGCCCGCTGGCGACGTGGCTTTTTCAGCTCCTCCTTTAAGGCAGTCGATTCCTAGACGTGGTGGTAAGTAGAAACTCGGATTAAAAACATGCTTCATTTTGCTTTTYGGCGGGTGAGAGCTGTAACTCAGCAGAGTTTGGTGAAACTTGTCCTGTTCTCYTGCTTATGGAATTTTGCTTCTGTTTTCTTTTACTCTTTTGAATAAAATGGGAAGTATGTGTTGCAACTTGTTTTTCYGTTTTGCAAGGACAGAGGAATACCCACCTTTAATCTGCTTTTCTCTTCTGTCACCTTGAGTAAGTGGGTGGCTTGACTAGCGTTCAGTGTAGTTAATGACGTTTAAAAATGTGTTTCTTGTTAGAAATCTTAGTGTTGAGAGTGGCAGGAGAGCTCTTCACAGCTGTGAGTAACTGTATTTACATCTATAGCCCGACTTTATTTAATAAGGCAGGACAGGAGGCAGTGTCTTTTTTATAATCCCCGTTTTTTGTTTTTGTGTTTGTGTTTTTTTATTATTATTTTCCTGTGGATAGAGCAAAATTTTGATCTGGCTATTTTTTAATGGAGCTAAAATACTGAATAACATGACAGGAACCTGAAAGATAGATTCAGTTATTGGGGGGCTAATGTGGATGTGTTTCCTGAAAAGTTTTTCTGGCACCATTGCTCACCTTTTGTGTGTTTTTTAGCCATCTTTCAACAGCCTGCACTTCAGGAAGGACTCCTTTCTCTGCTTTGGTACATTAATTGATTTTAATGAAGCAAGAAGTCCTACAGTTTTATGTTACGTGTTTTTTCTAGAGGTGGTCAGGATTTGTTTATTTGGATAGAAAATACCATTTGGAAAGTTGAGCTTTGCTAAAATGGTTTAATTTTTCYATAAAGAAGCTCCATCACCGGGTGGCTGCGGCGCCTGGCAAGCGGTTGGTGGTTCTGTGCTGGGGGAGGAGAGCTGGCTGTGGGGCAGGCAGCACCAGGGGCTCTGCCTAGCGCCCCTTCCCGAGGCAGGTGTGGGGAATGGGCAGGAGCCTTCCCAGAGATGAGATGACTAAGCAGGTTATGTAACTTCACTCCTCTGAAAGGGATTGTTTTCTGGGGAATTCTTCCCATGCAACTTCTATTCGTGCCTGTTTTATTTTGTCTTGATTTGGAATAAATCAGCACCACCTTTTTTGGAAGCAAATGATTTTTTTCATGGAGAAAGTTGTCTCCTTTCTGTATGGTTGTATCTTTCTCCTCATTATCTTTTCTGTATGTCAAATACTGAATTGCCTGTGAAAGGAATTTCTGAGTGTAAGGCAACGAAGAAAGGTTATCCAAGATCAATTTTATACTAATTAATCATGTTTTTAAAAATGTAGAATGGAGATTTCATCACAGCATTGCTTTGTTACTGATTATTCTTATCACTGTCTACAGCTTTTTGGCTTATGTAAGTAAACTTTACTTATGTAAGTAAAAATGTTAAGAGGGAATAATGGAAATCCTGTATTAGCATGAGATGCATGTCAGAATTGTTTTTCTCACTTTTGTTTTGCAGCCAGTGCAAGGCTTTGACTATGCCAAGCAACATTTAGGTCAGCAGGGAGCCGAAGATGAGGTGTTACCTGTGACTCAAGAAACTGTCGTACTTCCACTTCCAGTTAGAGATGCTCCTGCTTCCCAGGAGAGAGAAATCACTCAAGATGGGAGCACCATTAAAACTGCCCAGTCCAATGAAACAAGGAAAAGGTAGGGAGAGAGGCATCTCAGCAGAGGGATGGATGGGATGGGGCGCATGCTGCTGGTTACCTACGAATGAAAGTACAAGGTTTGGCACCCAGACTGTGTGTGACAGATGGCTTCTCCTCAGATAGTCTTGGCCTTTGCACAAGAGATGACTCTGAAATAAACACTGGGTGTCAAGCACGAACACAGATCATTTCTCAGGTGAACTGACAGGAGTTCAGCCAGTGTGAACTGGCATGGCTGCAGTGAGAACCTGCGTCACTCAAGGGCCAGTCATGTCCTCAAAGCAGGAAGTTTAACAGACCGTATATGTTAAACTTCTTGTCCCCATCATAGCCTTTCAAAGGAAGATTGCTTTACACCAGCTGAAAGTGCTGGTGCTGTGCTGCTACTGGGTAAGTCTTTGAAGGAGCTATACTTAAAGATGGATRCACACAAAAATGTACATCAGCCTATTAATCCTCGCAGAAAAGTGAATAGGCACTTCACTTGCTTATGCTCTGGATGAGGGCATAAATCCCCCTGTACTTAATCTGCTCACTCTTAAAACAAGTTTTGATTAAAAAACTTTATTCAGGAAAGGAACCAACAGGAAAGGTTATAATGAGAATAAATGTGTTGAACCGCTGGCACTTTTGGGGTGCCTTYTAAGCAAAAGGTATCTAAATGGGTCCTGTCTATGGCAATGCTTGTGTCTTCTGCAGGGTGACTGCTCGAGTGAGTGTGAATAAGCAGAATTTTGTTCCTTTGGKATTCCCACGAGGTGTGGCCAGGAGATGGAAAGCGATGGTTTCACAAAATGACAAAACATTTCATGACCTTTTTGTATTTGCTATTTCATCCAGGCTGTTTTGTAGCTTCAAAAGGTCATTTTAAATCATACTGCCATGAAGCAGCTGGTATCTGATGAGATATCTCCTCTGATATTATCCCTGAAGGAAACTTCACAGTTAATAGATGTGATGGTCACTTTAAAAAGATGAGTATTTAGACTGGAGGCAACAGAAGTCATTCTGTGAACTGTCCATACTTGTTTATTTTCCCTGTTCTCAAGTGGAGCAGCGTATTAATAATGAAGAGAATTTCTCAAAGGCTGATTGCATACAGAGCTCTTCTAAAGGCCTATAGTTTGAAAGAGCCTGTGTCAAATCATATATATGTGCGTATTTATTTACTTATGTACCCACGCAGGCTGTCTTCAAGAGAGGGCCTTTAAGAATTGCCCTCCCTCAGCTGTCCCTGCCTGCGCTGACCCCAGTAAATTCCTAGAGAAGACCATGTGTATTTTTCTCAGGTGCAGCCTCCTTGCATTGTCCTTTATTTGACTGCAGCACTTCAGAATAATTGATTTCAAAGAAATGCATGTATAAGTATATGGATTCTTTAGATTTTTTCCAGTCCTGTTGTGACCAGTGCCCTTTCTAAGAACAACATGGTGTACCACACCATGAGGTGGAGTGGCACCATATTTAACATGTTTCTAGTCTGGCCTGCTTTTCCCAGCTGGTACGGTAGGGTAGGATAAGCAACTCCTCCAAAAAAAGGCACAGAGTTGAGCAGGTGGCCCCCCGAGCAGCCTCCTCTCGCCCTGGCTGCCCCCGTTGCGTTTCTGCTCTGACCTCCCTTCGCTCCTTGGCGAGGGAGCCGTTTACTGTGCGACAAACCGGACAGACAGTGGCCGAGGGAAACAGGACCTTTCAGTAAATCATGGGGTTATATGCAGGGGGAAAAGGAGAATTTTCTTAAAACGGTGAGTGTGTGTATACAAAGTGGGTGAATTTTGCATTATGGTGGGCAAAATAGTTGAGTGTARACGCAAGCTGGATAATTGAAGAAAATGCTCGAATTTAGTGGAACCATCTTTATAAACCAAATGTGTGCTTTGTTTTAGCTGCATAAATGAAGCTGAACTATTATTATTTTGTCCTTTCAATGCTTCTGCTGCTGTGGGCATTGTGTAAGAGAAGCAAGTGATGCCCATCAGCCCTGAACCAGCTGGAAGGTACTCTCTGCATCCTGGCGCTCTGCTCCTGCTTTTGCTGTCTTTCCATTATGCAGTTTATTTTCTCTCTCCTTCTGGTACAGAATGAGACTTGCAGACTCAGTGATGCAAACGGTACAAATGAAATAACCTTGAAACGAGGTTTTTGCAGAAGAACTTACCGTCTCCTTGTTGCCATGGTTACTTGCAGCCGGTCGCCGAGCCAGGACGGCTCCGTGGGCAGCAGCGCGTCGGGAAAGGCCAGCTCGGGCCCAAGCTCCCCGCACAAAGTAGCGGCCCCGCAGAGCGTCGCCAAGGACGAAGGCAGGAAGAGGAACGGTGAGAGGCTTTCCCGAAAAGCACGGAAGCTGCTGGCAGCTGCTCCCGCAGCAGGACCCGCACGGGCACCTGCTACGCTGAAGCTATCTTGCCTGGGCCTTTAACAGGGCCTCTCACAGTTGTTGAGACCTTTCTTGTTCACGGCTTTTTTTTTTTTTTTTTAAATTTCTCTATTGCTATGACAATCCCTCAACCTCACAGTGTGATACTTGCTCTTTGTGTGTGGGCCTTTGCAAGTTTTCCCATTTTTTTTCCCCTATTTATTTATTTTTAGCAGTGGTGAAGACACGATACTGCTTAGTAGGCAGAGTGGGTTTACAGGATTTTTTTTTTCTGTTTAGAGCCCTAGGATATTCATTTCCATTACTGCTGTTGCTAAGGTGGCCCAGATCTGATGAAGATGAATTAATTAGATAAAAACTGATTTGAAGAGGTGTGAGATTTCTAGACATTTAACTTGTCTTTTTTATCTTCCTTCTCATTCATTTTATTCCTAACACTTCTAGTGATAGCTTTTCCTGCTGCACATAGGATGTTGCTTATGAATCCTTTGTTGATGGCCACCTTCTGACTTGGTGGCCATCAGGAACATCTAATGAAAGAACCATTCTCTTCCCTTTCTTCCTTGCTTTTCTGTTTTCTTTCCCTCTGCTTTTCTCAGTTCCTCCTAAACTAGAGCTTTGCTTCAAAAGCCAGATTTTGCTATGAATAGGAAATCTTCTGGTTGAACCAGAAGATTACTTCTGTTTGAAGGGAATTAAGCTGTGTGTGGCCTCATCAAATTCTATCATGAACTGTAGTTCACTTGGTCTTTAACTCTTCTTTGTTAAAAATACTGCAGTTTGGAAGGAGAGATTCAGATAAATCGAGAATCTTAGTGGAGATTTCTTCTCCTTTTTGTGGAAGACCCCTAAATCACCCCTGAAATGATTCTTTGGAGCTATGTGAACCTAACGGTTTATAAAGTTGAAATTAAAAGATGAAAATAAGAATACTCAGAAGGTTTATCCCTGAGCTTACATGTTGTTCCCAGTGCTATGATTTCCAACARGACATTGTCATCCTTGATATTTTGGGCTCTTTGCAGGGCTTTGTGTTTACCCAGGTGATTAACATCAGTCAACTGTTTGGGCCATTTGCCCTTCCAGTCTCAGAAAGATGCTGTTTTTMTGTTAGCTGCTTGTCTGAATGTGCTCTAGCCCTCCAGCATGATTGTAGGCTGACATCTCAAATACGTGTGTCAGCAAAAGAAATAGCAAATTTTCTTCTCTGCAAAGCAGCATCTTAAAGCTGGAACGAGTCCCTTGCTGGTCACGTGCTCAATTTGGGGACTCCAGTTAGAACGGCTCATTAGTTGCCATGGTTACCAACCAATTTTAGATTCTGCTCCTCGCTGACATTTAGTTCCCCAGCAGAATGATAGCGCTGGATGTTAACTCCAGGGCTAAACTCCTTGTSGCTTTTAGCAGCATGGGCTCCACACGGAGCATGGCAGCCCGGAGAGCGAGCGGTGCGAGACCTTGCTGGCTGACGTGCCTGGTGAACACCTTATGGCTTGAAGCATCAGGAAGGTTCTTTAGCTGAGCCTGACTTCTGAAGGAAACAAAGCTAAAATCCCTTTGTATTACARTGCTGGTAGTCTGGAAGGTAATTGCATTTTTTTCCTTTTGATTTTCTTTGCAAAGCATCTATTCAAGCTTTATGGGAAGTTTCCTTTTCAAAGGTGACTAGTTGAGTTTATATTTCTTTTGGACACTTACAAAAACAACTGATTTCTGTCTGTAATACAACTAGGCTATGATACAGAAGTGCAGCCTACCAGTTTTCAAACTAATGTGGAGTTGATCATCAGAGCGAGCTCTTCACAAGTTCTGAAGGGCCTGTGGTGACTCAGTGCTCCAAATTAAAGGCAACATGGCAACAGTGACTGAATCCAGAAGCAGCAACGTAGCAACCTGCTTTTGTAGAGAATTAGCTTGAGAAACTGCAGTGTTCTAGAAAACATCCAGGGTTCTTCATTTGCCTTTTCTATCTTAGTTAGCATGAGCTATGGCTTAGATTAGAATGCCTTTCATCTCGTCAGGTTTTGGTCTTTTAAAGTTGGGTGTCTAACCTTAAACTAACCAGGTAGCCTCTCCAGTCATTCCAGAGGGAGATACATTTATCCCCATTAGCTGTCTGCTCCAGAGGGTTCAGTATGGAAGGAGCCTAGACAACTACATCAGAGTTGTCCATGCCCATGCATGAGTTGTAAGATGCTTCCTTTCCAGTATGTCTGTGTCCCTAGAAGATTGGCAAGTGAAAGAAGGGTTTATGGAGGAGTCTATTCTTACCGTCCTCTCCTCATCATGAAGTGCCATCACTTAATTTGCCTCAGAAGGAGCGATAGTCAGCTTGTTTGGGGATCACTCTCTAACTCTTTATCCTCTCCAGGTCAGTTCCTAGGCTCTTCCAGGGCCAYTTCCTGACATTCAACTGTACAAAAAAAGAAATTCACTTGTTTAGCTGAAATCCCTTGTATTTGCACCAGTTGCCCTTTGGGCCTCTTGGGGAATTTTATGTATTAGTTCTCTTCTACCCAAAGATTTTCAGCTTGTGGGACACCGCCTCATATTTTCCGCTAGCCTTTTCTGATCCTTCCCCTGGCTTTCTGGGATATTGAGTGCTGTGACCCTGCTAGCATCCTGCTCATGACAGATGTAACCAGTGCCATTTTCCACTGCTGTTTCCACCTATTCTTGGTTTGCAGGAGGCAACCAGATGTTATAATCAGTTCTGTGATCTTCTGTGAACACTTCTGAGTCCCTTCACACTCTTACAAAAGCAAAATCAAGCACTGCAGCTGCCTCTCCCGGGAGAGAGGATGAGAGAGGCAACAACATGTCTGAGTTGTCCACACTGACTTGGGCYATATTCAGTTGCTACATTCACAAGCACAGTAGAACAACTTGCATAGCACAAGAGCTGTTTTCTGGGTACTTTAAAATTCCTTATTCTTTTTTCACAGGTAAGTATTTCAATCTTTCCTTTCTCCCTTCCAACATGCTCTAGTTTACAGAGAGATGAGAGGAGTGAAAAGACTCAGAAGACACAGAAGTCCTGTGTATCCTTCATGTTGGTTTCTTAGACTGACAAAAACATAGCTTTTTTATGTGTGAATTAGTAAGCACATAACAGTAAAGTATTCTACATGACCATTTTTTATTACGTGCTCGGAAATACAGTTTCTTAGCATGGTTTCGCTTGGCTGGTTAGCTGAGTGCTTAGCACCACCTGCTGGCACTCAGTTACAATAGTCGTGTAGCACTGCACAGAAACTGGAGGCTGCACGTTACACCTGGGGCATGGGCCTTAGTCTGTCTTAACTTGTATGCTGCTAGCTGCRGTGACGTGGAGCTCAGCCTGCAGTGGTGGTCCTCGTGGGGCCCCTCATTACTGTGAGCCTACAAAGTTCACAGGGTTTGCACAACCCCAGCTAGACCAGAGCATTCCGGCCCATGCATCTTATTTGAACAGTTCCATGAATCCAGAGGGACAATATTTAATGACAAAATGATTTAACCTGCGTGTTTCTCAAAAGGTCAAGTTATGTCAACTCTAGCTTGCAAGGAATATAGACAGAAAGATAAACTTAGTGGGTTCATATTTTATGTTATGACTCAGATATTTTCTTAACAAAGTCATACTGCTCTAAGAGTTTATACAATCTATTGTAATTTGTATGAAGATTAAATATTAAAGCAGAATATATTTTTCAGAGGAAATAAGTTCAGAGCAGGCCATTCTTTAGCAGAGAATCTCTGCTTCTGTCCATCTGGAGATAGAACAAACATTCCTCTGTTTAATAGAACAGCTTTTGTAGGAATCTCTTCGTGGAATTAGTCCTCATGCTTTCAAGTCACTTTTTGTCGTAAAATGAGAATAAAGTTACGTTTAAGATTCAGCAGCTGACAAGGTGCAAGCAAAATTTGGAGAAGGAAAAAGGCCAATCATATTTGAAATTTTCATTTATTTAGAAATCTAGAAATAAAGATGTTTAACCATGCCATTTAATTTTAAAGACTTTCAAAAACTTTCTCTTAACAATGTTCAAATGTGTAACTTTACAGTCGCTTGAGATATTGCTTTGTAAAGCAAAAAACAGTATACCTTTCCCTGTCATTTTCCTGCTTTTGTATGTCATTTGTGCCTTTTTCTCCTTTTCATCTGTGAACATATCATCATCATCCTCAGCTAAGTGATTTTCCGGTGTAAAGGACTGCTCCTTGAGTGTACTGAGCGCAAGGATGTGCTTGCTGAATTTCATCTTAAACGTGCAGTAAAAATGTTTGTCTTTATACTGAATAAGTTTGATGTGCTTTAGTGGCCCTAAGTGATGAAGAGGAAGGAGGCATTCTCTTTGATAACATTGCCAAATCCACTCTTGATCCCTTCGACACGTCCTCGGGGTCCGTGCAGCTGATCGCTATCAAGCCTGTGCCGCTGCCMGCAGTGCATGTCGCGTCGGACAGAAGCCAGGAGTCTGCCATCATTAACGGAGAGGTGAGGCTGGCCTGGCGGCACYGCGGCGCTCGCCTCGGCCGTGCTGCGCTCCAGCAGGGCCAGGCCTGCGAGCGCTGAGCAAGGGCTGGAGCGCTTCACCACGGTGCTCTGTGGAGTGGGCTCATCTCACAGATCTGGCAACTTACGGGCTGCCCTTTCACCCTGCGCCTCTGCTCCCTGCGCCTGTGCCACCAGAGGCTGTGGGTGCTGTTCCTGCCTTCTCTCTCTCCTCTCCTGGCATGTTYACTTTAAGGAAATGGTAATAAGGGCAGAAAACAGAATTTGTGAATTCTGTGGCTGAGCTTGGAAATATGTGTAGATTATGACAGTCCCAAACTCTTGCTTCTTTTCTCTCCTTCAAAAGAACAAGACAGTGCAGGACCAGGGCTTTGCTCAGCCTGCACTCCAGCCTGTGCGCCGAGGATACTGTTGTTTAGTGAGAAGAAAGTGTCCTGGGTTCAAGTGCTGACCCAAAACCCTGCTTTGGCACAAAGTCTTACATGGTTATTCCTATTTTTTTTAATGTACATTTGATCAAGAATGGTCTGTTATGTAAGGATTGGGGAATTTATATAGTTGTTATACATGGTGCCAGGCATTTGTAAGTGCCAACAGGCATTTACAAACTTGCGCTGCAGCAGTCATGTAAGAATCAGCCAGAATCATCCTGGTTTTACTGTTTAAAACCAACACTGAGAGTTACCATTAGAAACTTAGGCAAGGCAGTGTTGTGAGGCTTCCCGTTTGGGCCTCGATTGGAGCAGTCTGTCATGTTCCATTTTTGTCTGTTTATTTTAAGCTCTGCTGTGCAACAGACTTTCCAAACTCAGAGTGAAGGTTTATTTGGAAATCAGCACCCAGTTAAGAGTCGGTTATCAGGATAACATTCCTCGTGCTCTTTTCTGCTGAACAAACATGTCTTGGAAGTTATGAGGAGACAGTAGAATTTGACCCTTGAGGCAGGGACTCCCAAGTCAATTACTCTTCTTCACTCAACTCACAATTTGAAGCAAGGTTTTCATGTAGTTTTCCATCCCTTAGGAGCATCCAAAGAATCCTGACCTGTAGCAAGTGAGACTAAACAGTCATTTATTTCAGGATCTTGTCTTTGACAGTGGCCTATTTGCAAGGAAGAGTTTGAATAAGGAACATCTGATGATGTTTCAGCAGAATACTTTCCCAGCCACTTGTGGCTATTTGTTCAAGGCTTTATGCAGTCAGAGGTGATGCCTGAACCTCCTGGATCCTACTGGATTTTCCACTGGGCATTTCTCCCCATGGGGCCCACAAATGAACACAGCACTGGGTCATGGTAGTTGGCTCATATCATCAGTGATTTCTTCAGTGGGTGTGAACTGAGTCACTGTTGTGGTGGTGTACAGTTTTTAGGCTAAAATTATTTAACCATCTGCCAAATCATAAAAATACAGCAACTCTGTTCACTTGCAGTTCCTCACTGCTTGCAGATGGCACAGTGTGGTACATAACCACTCTGCAAAATGACACACACAGCTCATGAAACACTTTAACAACACTGTTTTGAAGTAATCGGCCCGGCACCATCATTTAAATGTATTTTTTTGCCTTGTAGGTGAATAAAGCTTTGAAGCAGAAGTCTGATATAGAGCATTACCGCAACAAGCTGCGCCTGAAAGCCAAGAGGAAGGGATACTATGATTTCCCCCAGGCTGATAACAGTAAAGGGCTGACAGAGAGAAAAAGGATGTATGAAAAAAACCCCAAAGAAATTGACCACATTTTGGATCCGGATACAGACATTTCTCCATTTGCTGAGCCTAAAAACAGGTGAGACTTTTTAAATGCAGTTATTTATCAAGGGAATTAAAAGATCTGTTTTTAATAGGAAAATATATGTTTGTTTTGATCAGCTGGCCTCTTCTGCTTTATGAAGAAAACAGACTGTGATTATTTATGAAAGTATGGCATTCAGTAAAACTGCATTGTGATTTAAAAGGAATAAATGCAAAGGGAAAAAAAGTGAAGGGACTCTTGCAAGTTCTTGTGGGTCATTTTCCAAAAAATCTCAATAGAAAATGTGCTAGTAATTTTTTTTTTTTTTGAAATAGAAGTGAACAGTCAGCACCTGATTTCATTCTTTTCCAAAGTTCACCGGGGTTGCAATCTATTATTTTATTTTTATCTGTTGTTGTTTTGCCTCAGGTATAACTGTTGCAGTAGGCATAAGATAACACAACCAGCACATTGTCCTTATATTTTGGTGCATCCTGTGGTGTTTTGTGTCTGTGTGCTTGTCTTTTACTGGTGATCTTTCAGGGTCTCTGAGAGTCGCTATTTGCTAATCTGCAGTGTGCAGCAGGCGTGTCGTACGGCCACGCTGATGCTTGGCCAGCACCTTGGGGTCTCTTGAAGGTGGCATGCTGATGGTGCCCGTCCCCCTCTTTTAGAAAAAAGCGGGGAGTACCAGATGCCTGCTGCCTCTCTGTGAGCCTTCTGTGGATAGGTGGGCCTGTGCTGCTCTCAAACACCTACTGAGGAGATAAAAAGAGGAGATGACAGCAGTCCACAGGAGGAGTGGTGCAATACGTGTATCGCTCCGTCTTGGGGACGGCCTAAGGAGGTGCGAAGCGGGGAGAGTCTTTGCCAGAACACCTCCCACCACGAGGGTTCTGGCGTTTGCTGCAGGCAGGGACTGCAGCTGAGGCAGCAGGGGAAAGGAATCCTGAAGTACATTCCCCCTGCAAATTCCCCACGCATTGAGGTGGTGGCAATTSTTCCCTGGAAAGTTCAGGCCAGAGTTTTCTGGTGAGCTTAAATGGTGGCTGCAGTCAAAGTGGCAGTGATAACACAGTGTTTGTGCACGCTGCTTCAGTCCCAGTGCAAACAGAAGGAAAGGGCTGTAAAGTGAATGGTGAAGCTGTGTCGCGTGCTGGTCAGAGTCACATTGGTCAATGAAGAAAACAGTTCTGARCAATCTCTCTGTACTGCCCTTAGTGGAGGCTCTGGGGCCACRTTGCCTTGTGCTGGCCTCTGGTGAGGGAGGATTAAATTGTCCAAATGCACAGAAAAATGAAGATACTGAACCTTAGTGCACTGTATTCTTATTCTACCTGCACATTTATATGTTCAGGGTATGTAAATGTGCTGGAAATATAAACGAAGGAGGTAGAAACTTGGATCTGACTGTGTGTTATGCAATACAGTGAAGGACTAAAGTCTTACTTTGAATGTTTATTACTCATCATATGTCATGTAGGAAATGCTTAAAACTTTACACATGAAGCTTTAAAACTAACTGTCTGCCTTTTGTTAAACATATTGATGTTTCTTCAYGTGCCAGTGTGCTGAAAGATCCTGGAAAGCATTTTTCCTCTGTGCTTCTTGATGTGCTGTGTAAACCTGTGATAGTCTTTTTAAGACAGTGACCAGTGTCCCGATACAAAATTCTTCAAGGCTGGCTYGCTGCTCTGGGCCAGTGGTCCTGTCCAGTGGCTGACCCACAAGAGCCAGGTGCTGGCTCGCTTACAGCACACTCTGTGTCCCTATGTAGAGGAAGGGAGAAAAGCTCTGTCTGTTTTGCCTCCTGTAAGGGTGCAAAGTGTTTTCGGAATGTTTAGGCCACGGCTGTAGTCCGTGCTGTGCTCTGCACACTGACTCCTGCAGCACGCCTGGCATGCACTTGTTGCCTGCATTTTGTAAGTGAAAGTAAGGTGGGTAAAATGACAAACTGTTGAAGGAAAATGTTGAATAATACTGCAAAGAAATGCAATTCTTAGTTACGGGTAAATGAATGGATAGAATTTAATTTCCATAATAAAACAAAATTGGTTTTACAGCAGCCATAGGATGATTTCATGATGGCATGAAATTGAAGAGATTTGCTCTGTAGCATTTTCTACTTTGTATTATCATTTATATCATTATAATTATGGTAATTAAAAACTTGTACTTTAAAATGCTCTCTGTTTTTTGAATAATAATATTTAGGAGTAAGTGAAAGATTAAAAAAATTCTAGGTAAAAGGCTTTTTTCATTCTATTCTGTCTATATTTTCTGCCAATTTAAATCACACTATTTTAACATTTCCAAAACACATCAGAAAATAAATATACARTTAACTACAATATTCACATTTACCTTTATATATTCAATTTTAAGTGGTATTTTAAAAATTATTTCCAAAATATCAACAGTAAATAATTTGATTTGTTCAAGAACCAACAGCTGCGTGCTCTTAGTTCCTTTGAGTCTTCTGTACAATAAAATGCATCTTTTAAAGTTCTCCAGTTATGTTCCCAGTAGACACTTGCTAACCCATTTGCATGCCAGTTGTTACGGTCCATATCTCCTTTCTCATTAGCAAAATTTCTTTAAATGAGCTAATTGGCAACCTCAAAGCAATTTTAAAAAGCCTGCTGATGATAGGCGCTATTCCGGGTGTTTCCTTAGCAGTTTGTAATCAGGTCAAGAATCTGCATATATAAAAGTGTTGCATATTTGACTCCCTTCAAAAATATATCACAACTACTATATTCATTAAGTATTCAGTAAGTATTCATAAGTATTCATAGACATACTGTAAAACATATATGAAATTTTAAAGACCTTTAATGTAGGAACATATGTACAGTCGAATCTGGCTAGGCTTAGTACTGGCCAGGCTCCCCGTTGTCTCTGGTAGTGTCACTGCTAGAGTCTTAGGCAGAAGCAGCATTTGGAGCACTTTGGGATCCTCTCATGCCCTTTCCCAGCTCCCTACCAACGTCTCCCACTTTGTTCTTCAGGTTTCAAACCCACTGTGTCCTTTATGCACGCAACTAGCTTTTAAATAAAGCGCTTCAGTTATTCACTGCCATATTTACCGGGGAAATAGATTCCAGCCCCTCTCCTTGTGCTCTGATTTGGCAGTGTGTTTGGGACTTTTAAACATGTGCATGGGAATTTGTCAGGGAAGCTTCTTGAAACCTCCCCTAATAGTTAAATAYGTGCTTGAGTAATTTGTTTAATCAGAAAGATTAAACGGGTCAGTGCTGATGGTTCTTGCCCTGTCTTTTTTATCTTCTGTTCTGTCCTTGCCTTTTTGGAATTCCGCAAACGAGTTTCTGCTACTCTAATCTAGCAAGACAGCAAATTCTGTTAACCRAATCTCTAATATGTGGAGAATTATTTCTTGTTATTGGTGAATTAATCTGAATTGTGTTGTCTTTSCATTTCATTGGTGCTTATTGGAGGTCAAACCATGAGGTCTCTGTGATTACTGAAAGTCACAAAGGCTTCTTAGTGTCATTTTCTCTTGCATCACTTATGGAAAGAGCCCAGGGCTCCTCAGGGTTTCTAATATTGCAGTAGATCCATTTGMACTCAGTTTCCTCAGTCCAAAACATTTCAAATTCCAGGGTTTCATTTTCACCCCACATACTATCCCAAGTTAAGCTCTCAGGCACAGCTGTGCTTTACTTTGATATAAGCCTTTTTTGCCCTTCAATCAAATCTTAGCACAAGGTTGCATTTTCTCTCCTGACACCTGGCAAGCAGAGGAGAGTGTCATGAAAGTCTAAAAAGCGTCTTCTTTCCTTCAGTAGCCCCCTTTCAAATCCCTGGTTTCAGCTCTTCTCTGGTTTCCTCTAATTTACCAGTGATGACTGAAAAGCTGTTGTGTTTGCTGCCTTGGTGATCTTCTGTTATTGCAGCCCTGCTCTCTGCTCCGAGGGAGCACCAAGGCCGGTCCCTTGGGCACTTCCATGGGGCAACACAGTGCGCGCGCCCAGCGCAAACCACCTTCTGCTGGCGACGTGGGCTGTGCCAAAGGGCACCCGAACGTGCGAGCTCAGACAGAGCAGCGCAAGTTCTGTTGCTTCCCTGTAGCCGCTGTCGAAGCGTGGGAGGGCAGTTCTCCCTCTCTCTTGCCCTGCCTCCCTTCTGGTGCTCTCGGGCCCTCCTTTCAAAGCCTGTGGTGTGGTTTGATGGCAGCTCCTTCATCTAGAGGTCTTTCTCATGGGTAATGATGCCAAATCTTTCCTTGCTGAATAATAAATCTGTCTACTCGGACAACTAGAAGAGAAATGAGATCTGAATCTCAGGCCGTAGAAGTAGCCCTACTAGTTTAACTTTGYATGGAGATTTGCCTTGCCCATGAAAATCCAAAACCATGTTTGTTAGAGCATCTTTAACTAATAACTTTTTTGTCTTGAGTTTTAGTTCTAGTTTTGGTTCTGATATCTGTGTAGCCTCTGAGTCTTGCCTAATAATATCCATACTTCAGCACCTAAATAAAGGTCTTATCTGTAACAGCCATTGAATTGATAACTTTAATAGTACTTTTTATTTTATATTAATACAAATCACAACAGTTAATGCCAAAAGAATTCTGATACCTTCTTGGAAGATAGCTCATCTGAAAAGCCCCCATAAATGATACCCCTATCTTTTATGTAGGTGTTTCCATTAACAGTAAACAAAATCTACYGTCTCTTCCATAATGTTACTGATTTCCAGCAGTTCTGTATGCAGAGCAAGGATATCCAATTACAAAGTGGCATTTTTATGGAACTCAGCATTTTAGAATAGCAATTGATCCTAGAAGCTATTGCCTGTCTGTCTGTTTTCTTTTTTCTTATTCTAGTATTTTGCTGTTTGCTGTTTTCTAGGCAACAGATGAAGAACTCTATATACAGAAGCAGGCAGTCTTTGAACAGCCCTAGCCCAGGAGAAACTGAGATGGATCTCCTAGTCACCCGAGAAAGACCGAGACGTGGAATCCGCAACAGCGGATATGATGTAAGTTTATCAGATAGATTCAGTGAAATTTGTTCAGCAAAGTCTTTACTTATTCCTCAAATTAGGAAACAACTGATAACCTACATCCAAATCATAATGTCCTTATGTAAGTGACCTTATTATATTTGTCTGCGAATCAATATACAAAAGAATTTCCTGGTATCATTTTACTGAAGTAGTTACATTGCTGTAACTCCCCCAGAACTTCTGGATATGATGTTCTCATGAAGATTTTTTTGTGTTATAATTACAGCAGCAGAATTTTGCCAAAATATGACAAGCCAAAAATATAACCTCTTTGTCTCTAGTACGTAGCTTTTAAAATGTTTTTCTTGTGTAATTCCAGTTCCTTGTATTAGACAGTAACTATATACGAACAATATCTGAATTTTTATAATGGCAGCGTTAATGTGTACTGGCATCTGTTCACGATCCTTAGATGTTTCAATTGGTATGAAAGCAAATAGCACATGTACGTGGCAAGATGAAGTAAATTTTAAAACTTGAGTATTTGTATTTCTGCCACTAGTCTCCAAAATCTTCATGCTAATGTTAATATTGATAAATCAAAGCTGACTTAATTTAGACTGCTATTAAAAAGAGAACCTGATTTACTTCAGATATTAATAGGTCTCTTGTGGGATTCAGTTCACTGACATTTTTATAGTCATAATGAAATAGAAGAGATATGGTTATTAGTCTTCAAATTGGGATAGTATGATTTCTGAGGCTTTTAATTGCACTTACACATAAAATCACTTAGTATTTTATTGTCATGGTCCTAAAATTTGCATGATTTTTATTTATATAGAATGTCCAGCAATTTCTATTGCGATGCCAGTAACTTTAAATAATTAAAACAGCGTTAGATTTTGTTTGCTTTTGTAGTTTTTAAGTGCAGTGAGCACTGTTTTTCTTTTTTCTTTTCTTTTTTTGAAAGCATAGTTAGGAGAGAACAGAGAGGAAGTTTGGATCGCTCTAAGACAGATGGCTCCTGCCATTTCGATAATTTGTTCCTATTTTCTCTGATTCCAAATTCTAAAAGCTTTATGTGACTCGTGGTTTGACAACTTTGAACAGTTTTTTTCTAGTTTAGTGAGAGACAGCTCCATATCTAGACATAGACAGAAAAAGAGGTCAGACTTCAGTGTAGTAAGTAATTGAAGTAATGAGAATTGAAAAAAACCCAGTTTTCAGTGGTGGCTATGGATCTGAGTGTAAATAAGGAACTGGGCTACTTTTGAAATCTGTCTCTTACTCTCTGGAGAAGCAGAGATGCAGTTTAAAATATGGGCCCCAAGATTCATTTCCACACACGTGAATAACCTACTAATCGTAAGAAAGAAATAAATGCAAGGCATATTACTTCACTTTAAAGTTAATCACCATCTAAAACTGGATGATGTTATGATGAAAGGGCAATATGGATGAAACATGTAAGATCAACATGAAATATCTTAAAAAGGCTGTTGGGATATCACTATTTATATATTAAAAAGGAGTGATTATTTGTAGAAAGCCAGTCTCTGTAGGTAGCTCCACGGACTAGATGGGATGCTTTCCCTGAGGTAAGAAGAAAAATGGCAGAATATCCCGTCTGGTACCCTGAGCAGGCTTGCCCCACTCGTAAGGATCTGAATCCAAATCCTCTGGCCATGGGCAGCACCACCGTTTCACTGCCATTCAACAAATCAAGTACTTTCTCAGTGCATTTCTCCTTGGCCTCTTTCCTCACGACTGACTGCAGGGCGCTTCACGAAGCCATCGTCTGTCACACAGTTTCTCCTCACCGCTCAGGCACTGCTGGAGCTCTCCCCTGTGCTAATTATTCACTGCATAGCCCACAAATCWCTAAAGCACGTTTAACCCTGGTTAATTATTGTTTTTTACTGCTCTATTTTTCATTCAGAACAAAATGTAGTTGTATTTTAATGGCTAAGAGAGCAAACAAATTATGCTCTTTTATTTAGAGTTGATTGTAAGTTCTTGGGCAAGTTATACAATTCTTCTCTGAACAGTTGAAAATGGAAAAGGCAAGTTGAATAGGTATTTTCCTCTATAGATGAAGCAGCACTGTGGTTGTTCTTTACTGTGTATGGTTAACCACACACGGGTTGCAGCAGCTTGTGACACAGTGGCTCATTGAGTTGGGGAAGAAGAAAGCTATGGTGTTATTACTTGAGAAAAAAATGCCATATCAGGAGCTACAGAGCACTCGAGTAAGTTACCAGGCCAATACTGGAATTTTTTATAAGATTATCCTGCTGTATTATTTTACTTGTGACTACTTTAAATGCTATTGATAAATAGGTACTGTGGGATAAAACGGTTACATTCATGAAGTCTGAATTGTCCTAATTGGCTTGGGGTTGAACGATGGAGTTCTGTTGGTCATATTGATACCCATGTCCAACATACCTTTTGATTCAGTCCTAACCCCCTGCCTACTGTCGTTCTCAGTTCCCTTGTCTCCGTGTGCTGTGTACCTCTGAATCAAAAATATGCTGCATCTGGTTTGTCTGTGTTTGAGAATCTGTTTTCTGCGGAGCTGCAGAGGTGCCGACCTGCCTGGTAAAGATCCTTTGCGTGTCTCTGTGTGCTTTTCTTGCACTCTACAGACAGAGCCTGAAATGATCGAAGAAACCAACGTGGACCGCGTGAGCGAGCCGCGGGGCTACGGCAGGGCCCGCCAGGCCAAGGGCCACTCGGAGACCTCCACTTTGAGTTCCCAGCCTTCCATAGACGAGGTGCGGCAGCAGATGCACATGCTCTTGGAAGAGGCTTTCAGCCTGGCCTCCGCGGGCCACGGCGGGCAGAGCCGGCAGGACGCATAYGGCTCCGCGCCGCACTTGCCCTACTCCGAGGTGGTGACGAGCGCTCCTGGCACCATGACCCGGCCGAGGGGAGGCGTGCAGTGGGTGCCAACCTACAGACCCGAAATGTATCAGTACAGCCTGCCCAGGCCGGTGAGTGAGTGAGTGAGTGAGGACTCGTGGGGAGGGGCCTTTGCAAAGGGAGAGGTGGTGCAAAGCTCCGCACCAAACAGATAAGGACTCGTTTAGTTGTCTCCTCCTGTTCCTTAAACACATGCAAAGAAGCAGTCTGCTTTTGTACGGCAAATACATACGCAGCTGGCTATGAATCCTTCAGCATTATGCATGAAGTCCAACACGGGGGCGGGGGGCAGTTATAATAATCAGAGTGTCCTCATGTATGTGCTCTGATAATGCCAGACCTGCAGCTATAGCTGCTGGCTCAAGGCTCAAAAGAGAATTGAGTTCCACAGGTTTCTTAGCTGACCTTATGTAAGTCACTCTTTATGCCTCACTGTCCAGGCTCAAATCAAGTCTACCATTTCCTTATTTCACAAAAATCATAACCATACTGAAAGCTGAAGTCCATGGATAGACTGCAATAACAGTTATATATGTGCCCCTGGTGTGTTAAGCTACCCCTGAATTCCCACTTACTGTGCGGTGATGCACTAGAGTATTTCAGCCCCATGCATCAGATGCAATTCTGAAACAGGGTGATTTCTGACAGAAGACAAATAGCCAACCTGGCAATATGTGTAAAACTGGCCTTSAAAATTTTGAGGTTGTTCAGACTCATTTTTGTCAGAAATAAATATATTTTTTGAAAGAATGCATTTCAAGTAGAGTTGCTGTAACACTAGTTGGAGCAAGAGAAAAATGCAGAAAAATCTCTGTGGTTCAAAATAACTATTGCTGTGACTTMTTCCATGATAATGAGAAAATGAAAGGTGCTGCTTCCAAAGTGTTCTGAACATATTTGAAAGCCGTATTTGCACCTTGTGCAGAGGTTATTTCTGTCACTTTGAAGGTTTTCTTCTGATCTTCATTCAATATATAATCATCTGTTGGAAAACAGATTTTATACGACAAGACAGACTGCATGAGTCATACCCAGGCAGATCACACTGCTGCTTTAGAAATTCTCACATGTGACTGCATCAAGCTGAGTCCAGGAGAAACACCTCTGTTACAAGGCTGGGCCAGTTCCCATCTTTCCTCAAGAGGGCCCTGGAAAGAGAAACAAAAATAACAGAATTCTAGATTCTGAGGTTAGAACTGACATGACATGATAGGCACTGCTTGGGCAGGCTTAGGACTTCAGGGAGTGCTGCTGAATCCAAGCCTCAAAGCTTCTCTTCATTTAATGAAGGTGCGAATATCACCCAGGTCCAGCTACGCTCAGCTACTCTTTGAACTCTAAAGCCATAGGCAGCTAACAGGAACAAAACCAGACCCAGCTAGCATTATTGCTGAGTTGGAATTTAATAATTAGATTAGTGAAATCTTTCAGCTGTTTGTTTCAGCAAATCTTTRTTTGCTGTTTCAATCAGCAAACAAAGGCACTGTCCTTTTAATTCATGTGTTAAGATGTAGAGGGATGAAGGGTGCTGCTTTAATTAGAAAASAGTGTTGAAGAATTTCACTGAAGAAAAATGCATCTGTGGCTTAGAGATGGTACAGTGTTTTGATAGAGAGACCAGGGAAGGGTGGCCTTAAGACCATCTGTCAAGTTTCTTCTTTAGATTTCAGATTTTCCACTCTGATCAAGCTTCAGGTCAGGGCTATTAGGAGAAATCAAACTGAGGTTTCTTAGATTTGAACAGCATTTATTTTTTTCTATGCAGTTCTTTCATTAAAAGACTATTTTCCACCCCTGGCTGGGAAATGAACCATTGCGTTTTTCAGAATTACTTGAGACCTTTCTTATTGCTTTAGGAAATTAMAGAGCTTGGTGTTTTTCTCAAGATTTTTTTTCTTCGTATCTTCAAGACTTCAAGGAGTTGAAATATAAATTGCACACAGTATCATCTTACTAGATGCTGTTCTGAGGATGCTTCACATGTACTGAATCTTTAAAACATTTTGCTCTATGAGATAGTGAAAACATGGACATCTTTTTCCTGTGGGTCCAAGGCAACTGTTGTCTCACGTAACTGTAAAAGATTCACTTTGCCACCTAGGTTGCTAATGTGTCAGAGACAGTTTAATGTGTTTTACTTTATTTGGACTTTGTTTTGGCTCTGTGAACTCATTTGTTCATGCTTTCTTCCACATTCTGAAATTGCTGATGTGGTGTAATTCTCAAATAAAATGCTGTTACTGTTGATGCCACCAAAAGTTAAATTCTTATTAGCCAATGTGCAAAACAGTTATTGCATTTCTGAGCTTCTCTTGGTTTCTTATTTGAGTGGCATCTGTTGATGTTTCAAACAATTCTCATTTGTTTCYCTTTCACAGGCTTACAGATTTTCTCAGCTTCCTGAGATGGTGATGGGTTCTCCTCCACCTCCTGTCCCTCCCAGAACAGGTCCTGTGGCTGTTGCCTCTCTCAGGAGGTATTTATCTGTTGTTTTATGAACACTTTGAACTGTAAAAACTACTGTTCTGCTGTTTTAAAATCTCCATGCTTGTGGCAAGGTCTGAAGTGGCACCTGCTCGTCATCTCCTTCATAATAAGGAGACATTCATGAAATCATCAACACAGTATTTTTATTTCATTTTAACATGAAGAGGAAAGAAAGAAAAACAAACTGGTCAGTGTCAATAAAATCAGGAAATCCAAGCTCTGATTTTGTTAAATCAGGCTTTGCCTCCACTCTGACAATGCATGATGGAATATCACACTACAGCTGTGTAGTAGATAAATCACTTGAAGGACTCACAACRTGATACAGATAAATTATAAGATATTTTTCAGAACTGTGAGTATAGGGATTTCTGCCTAGYTGTCAGATATTGCTTGTGTTTCTGAAGCCAAATGCCTGTGAAAGCCTGATTGCCTTACATCAATGTATGCATTTTGCTCCTTCGCACAGTAAGGCAATCTTTAAAATGCAGTTTGTACCCTGCTCTGGTGGGTGAACTCATGTAGCCTTCAGTAYTGTGCAATTTTGTCCTGCCTGGTGCCATTTGTAACTCTGAGACACTACAGGCCTGCTGAGAGTTGCTCTGGAGTACTGAAACTAAATGAAACTTCCACTCGGAGTGGTGGCCAAGGACACCCTAACTCTGTGAGTATTCCGAGTATGGACACTGTTGCTGTACTCTCCTTCACCTATTACGTGTGAGCTCTCAAGCAGCTGGGAGCCACCCTATAAGGAACAGGGCTGCTTCGCAAATTCAGTTAACGTTACTCATGATAATAGTCTTCTCCTTTGTGATGCCATGTATTAATGTAGTGGACTAATATGGTATCACCTGCTGTCCTGTGTTGGTGGACTATCATAAAGCTCTGATTTTTGTGTTATATGTTGCATTTGTTTGCCTTAAGCGAAGGCTCTGTGAATAACTTTGACAAAGTAGTGGCCAGCCTGAAGAAGCTGTTCACTGACATTTTCCAAAATTCTGTCCTGCCAGAGCAGAGCAGCTAGTTCCCWCCTAGCAGGCTTGTAATACTGTAGCTGATAGCCACATATGTGGCTATAAATCTCATCTGTCAGTCAGAATAAAAAGAGTCTTTTATTTTTTTMTGCAGGTCTACATCGGATATTGGCAGCAAAGTCAGAATACCCGAGTCCAGTGGGGTAGATCAGGCCCAGCATCATGATCAGGCATCTTTTGCCCCTGGTTCAAGAGCTCCAGTGTCTGTTGGTCCACTTGATCAGTCAGCTTTTCACTCAGGTGAAWAAAATATAGCTCAGAGCTAACTTGCAGCTTTGAGAAGCTCACAAATGTGTACTGCCTATGAAAAAATGAATMCGCTAGAGTACAGATGGTTATATGGAGAAGACTCTATTATGTGTTTCTTTCTGGGGCAACTGAAGAGCATGTACAAATAATTACTGCCTTCTTAAAGGCAGCATTAGCTTCATAACTGCTCCTGCAGAAGCACCATCTTTAATATTATGCTGTAGTTAATAAGAACTGGATTAAGGTACTGCACCAGCTAATTGTCCATTTTGACAAGTAGCTCATTTTGCTGTGATGATGTTACATGCACAGTTTGGTGTAGAAGCCACGTACATCAGGCATCGCAGGAGCAGCCCTTTCTCCTCTGCACATGTCTGAAGAATACACATCTCTAGCCTTGYTAACTCACTTCAAATTGTTTCTCCCACTCTTCTTTGGTTATGATAGGGAGATTTTAGTAGCTTTCCTGAGATGCCTGTAGCAAACATCTTGATAAAGCCATGATAAAGTAGATCTGCTGTCAACTTTCATTGGTAATTTTTTTTTTAAGTCAGAGCTACATAACTTCCTGAAGTTAACTGTTCCTGAGAAAGGAATTGAATGGGTAGAGTGTTGATAGTGTTTTGGAAGTGTTGAAGGTTTTTGATGGGGGGTGGTTGAGATTACAGCATTTTAGGTATATCACTCTCTCTTCATTTTTCTAGTTTTGTGCTTTGTTTGTTCCTGATTTAGTGTTACTGGGTAAGCTGAATCTGTGGTAACCTGTAGTTGAAATGAATGGGGCAGTACTCTGAAACATGTGGTAATAASAGCTATACTTGCATTCAAGGAAGCAAATGTAAGAGAAAAAAAAATAGTGATTCAAACCTTGATAGAGATCAATTGTCAACAGGATAGAGCAGTAAGAATTAACTCTTCATACCTTTGTCTAAGGCCTGTATTTGATTATATAAATGACTGTAGATCTGACCTTCTCCAGTATTTCCTATCTGTAGAGATGTTTTAGGCAGRTGGTAGGAGTCTTGGATACAACTGATGGTGATTAACAAAGCAAAAAAACCCCTCAGATCAATTACTTCATATTCCTTATATAAAGATCTTCTAACATACAGCTGGAAATATTAGTTATTAATATCTCCTCTGTTTCTTCACAGGAAATACAGTGCCAGCAGTGTTTGCCATCCCAGCAGCAAACCGACCTGGCTTTACAGGCTATTTTATCCCAACCCCACCCACAGCATACAGGAGCCAAGCCTGGATGCCCTACGCTGGAGAGAACGAATTACCAGGGCAGTGGGCAGACTCGGTGAGTATCTTTGCTTTTACAGCAGTGTGTGTTTTGTGTGATTTTTACAAAGTGGGTCTGAAGAGTGCCAAGTAATTGGGAAAGGATCTGGGCGGGATAATTCTCCTGAGAAATAGGTGTCCTCTCTAGTAAAAGCTACGAGAGAGGGAAAGCTGCTCTGGCTGTCCATCCTCTGAGTTGTAAGCAAAGTATTGCAGAGTTCAACCTTGCACTAGACAGGGATTGGCAACCATTCACCTCTGGTGGGTCAGATACCATTTTTCTTTCCCAAATCAGAAAGTTTTTAGGTATTTCTTTCCTAAATATTTAGACAGATATTTTGCAGGAGCTGGGGAGTATCTTTCCTTTGTGGAGGCTTTTCTCAGAGTCGCTCTGCTGGCCCTGCTGCAGCCCTATTGCACTGTGTGTCAAGTCCTCTTGCAAGCTGTTGACAGATCATAAATTAAGTAATTAATTATACAATCCTAGGCAAGAACAATTCTCATTTTTCATCTGGAATACACCTACACTTCAAAGAAATAAAACTAAACACTTAAATTGAAATAGCTTATTGTGTTTGAAACAATTTCTACAATTTAAGACTTGTTTTCCTATGTACCTTTAATGCTGTTAAGAAAAAAAACAGATCACTTATGCTGCTTSAGCTCACTTCAGGTATTGGCGCAGAACCAATTCAGCTAACCAAGTGGGGAGATGGATTCTAGTTTTTTGTGTAATTTAGGAGATGGATTCTATTTCTTTATGTATATCATCAAGAGAATCCGGTAGTGAATTGCTGTTTGAGTTTTATAGTTGGCTTTCAGCAGCTCACTGAGAAAAATAAAGGTCATATAAACATACCTGAGGAGAGCTTTTTGTTTTCCAATCTTTATTACTGGTCTTAGTGTCCGAGATGTAAAGGACTCAGTCCAACTGTCAGTACAATTCTGAATTTGCAGGGTGAAGTGGCGGTTTAAAAAGAAAGAAAGGAAAAAAAAGGAGAAGATTTTCACATTTCACACTTGCTAATACCCCTGATACCTGGAGATTTGTGATATTGTTTTACAGATTCACTTCCCAGAACAGAACTACCATTTAAAACATGATAAACTTGTTTTTGTTTTGTTTTGATAAACATTTTAAATCCAGAAGGCCCATTATATCATATTGAACTCTTTTATTAAGAAGGAGACATTTAAAAAATAGTATCTTTACTGAGCTTTAAATCAGAACTTAGTGTTACCCAGGTTCTCAGCCCTGCTATGATTTAGGGAGTTTGAGTTTTTGCTTGCTTTCTGGTTTCTGAACCTTCAGATTATAGCTGGAAAATGTCACCAAGATTCTCCTGGCAAGTAATAGAAATAGAAATCTAATTTCTAGAAGGTGAAAACTGAGATTTCGTATGTATCCTTTAACTAGACTGCAAGCAAACACCAGATAAGCACATGAAACAGGAGATCTGGCAACAAAGCTAAATATACTGTAATGTAGTATTTCCTCAATCAAAAGGTGAGTGTTGAAAAACTTGTTTTGTGGAAGATGGGAAGTGTCAGCCAAAGCTTTTCTTTTCTTTTTTTCTTTTCTTTTTTTTTTTTTTTTTCCCAAAATCACTAGCTTCTGCTTGGTAAAAGTAATATCGTGGTGGCCTCTAGTGGTTTCTTCAATGTTGGCACTACTACATTTTTATTATTATTATTATTATTATTATTATTATTATTATTATTATTATTATTATTATTATTATTATTATTTTTAGTAATCAGTTACACACAACACAAGGGTGACTGTTTAGTTGTCCCTGGCCTATCATGGCTATATCCTGTGCATGCAGCGTCGTACTGAACTAAATCTATTTGGCATTCATTCATTGCCCGGAGCACCAACTGTTCCGTGTACCTGCCTGCCCTACAGGTTCCCCTTCCTGGCTACATCGAGGCCTACCCCAGGCCGCGCTACCAGCACAGCTCGCCGTCGCGGCTGCCTCGCCAGTACAGCCCGTCGGGCGCCATGCACCCCAGCCTGGAGCAAGCGCCGCTGCCCTCCGGCGCCGCCTCGCAGCAGAGCCTCGCCGAGAACGACCCTGCCGACGCTCCCCTCACCAACATTTCCACAGCTGCTCTCGTAAAGGCAATAAGAGAGGAAGTTGCAAAGCTGGCCAAGAAGCAAACGGATATGTTTGAGTTCCAGGTCTAGTGTCTTTTGTGGCAGTGTCGTGACTCGTAGTAGCCAGGAAAGTGAGTCCTTCAATTTGCAGTTACAAACTTACTGTGACTTGTGCCAAAGGGATGGCATTTTTCTCTTTCTGAAAAGTCAATCCTATGAAAGGAAGTWGAGCAGTGGAACTCTGAAGATAAGTGTTGTGCTTGCCAGCTAAGGAAATGCTGCCAGGTAACTGTTTAATACTGATGCAATTGATCATATGCAACTGGTTGTCACCAAGCTCTTGTGCCGTGGTGACCTATCATCACTTGAGATGCTGCTGAGTATGTCTGCGCCACACAGTGTTTCATTTGCAGGCCCCAAAGGAGGACTGCTGAAAACAGCTTCTGCATGTCAGTGCTCTGTTTCTTTCATTAAAGAAGAGCAGATGTTAGTACCGGGGAAGCTGGGGTGACGGTAGGTGTGGTAACGCTCATATTAAGTGTTTGCTGCAGGACTCTCTGTGAGGATGCTGGTTTCAGCAACGCAAGACTCATTCAGCCTTTCCATTCCAGAGGCCACATTCAAACCAACAGAAATTGAGATGAGTAAGTAATAATAATAATAAATGTCTTGTAAATATCCCCACTTCTCCTCATCCTATTAACAGTACAAGGAAGTGAAAGAAGAGAAGACTGTGAAGAGGGTTCATGATATTTCAATAGTTGGTGGCTACCATGTCCATAAATGCCACTGATGAGTTACTGAGGAAGTATTTTCAGTGGGAGAGAACACAATACATGAAGAAGTAGCAAAGAAAACTGGTGTAAACACTTCCAGAAGAAAAGAAAAATGGTTATTTGTGTTTGCCCTTTATTCAGGCTTTTCGTTCTGAATGCATGCAAAGCTGGTGAACTTGAGACCTTTGAGCAAGTCTTTCCAACGTGGGATAATGAATACACCTGCTCATACAAGAAATCCTCTGTTTAACACAGTGCTTTTTTCTCTTTCTTAAACAATGATATCTAGTAAAGTGATGCCAGAAAGTGCTATGTGAAGCTGCAGTTGATCTTGATTGCACTGGACCATGGAAGAGACCTCTAGCTCATGCAGTTTGTGCAATTTCTGAATGTAGGGGATGTCGCTGTTATACTAACGTGTAAATAAGTGAATAGTTACATGGATTAACAAAATTACTAATGTTCTGTGAGAAAGAGAGTATTTCCAGAAACTATGTTGACTTTACACTAAGCAAGATTAAGGTCAGAAACTCTTAAACTGCACTGTTGTATGAATCCAACCCAAAAAGAAAATCTCAGCAACTAAATGGGACAATAATTTATCTTTTGCAGTTGAAGTAGTCAGAGATGATGAGAACTTGTTTTCAGTTCCTTCAGCAGTTAGCATTGTGAACTGAAGTTGGTATCAAATACTTTGTGTTGGGCATGTTCGATGTCAGCTGGAGTTAAAGGTAATGTCCTTCATCATAGTAAGTTACTTATTTAGCACCAATTGTTTATGCTATTTTGACTAATCTTTTCATTTTCCTGAGTTTGGTCTTTACTGAGGTGAGAAAGGGAACTTGGTTTAGCTTTTTGGTCATCAGAAAAAATGAGAGGACGAGGATAGAAAAGACTAGAATAGGGGAGAGAAAAAGAAATTGATGAAGCACAAACTTCTAAAACAGAGTTATTTCCCCCCTCCCTCAATGTTATAATATGAATCCTGTTTGAAATTGTGATACATAGTTACCCTAGAATATACCAATATCTTCTGTTCCAAGACCTTAAATAGTACAGAAGCTTTTGGAATTCCAGCTATCTTTAAACAAATGTGAAATTTCATTTTTATTATTTAAAAATCAGATATAAATAAAATGTATTTTTGTAATCTCTATGTATATATATTCTGTATATTTATATAAGTGACTAGTCTGATATAGTCAGAAAATTTCCATAAAGCAAGAGCAAAAAAAAAAAAAAAAAAAAAAAAAGATAATTTTGTCAAAATGAACATGCCTGGAGTACACAAATACACATTTGGGTGACTTGGATAACAACCCACCAAAGAAACTCAATCTTTCATATGAATATAAGTCTATTGAAGACAGGTTGCAGTTTCAGTTACCTGTCATGTAATTAATACTGCTCTATCAGTGTAACACAATACATCCAAATGTCTTTTTGTGTAAAAGTAAAAGCTGCCTGAAAATATCACACTTAAAAAAGATTGACTTAAAAATAATGAGTCAAATTCTGCTTTCCCTAAATAGAAGAGGTTTGTTTGGCTTTGGTGGGAACGTAACTCCCTGAAAACTAGGCTGAGTTTCTCCATTAGGTTTCACCTGTATATGCAAGTTTCACTAGAATCACTTGAACATTAGTGTGCTAATTTTTCAGTCAGTTTCTTTAAATTATTGTAATACCAGTACAGATACAATTTGAGTGGTTTATTTTTATTTAGCCTAATCTACTTCATACCCAATTAAAGCTAACTTGTAAAGTGAAATTCATGTTAATTTGTGCCAGCCTCATTTTGCACCTGCTTTATTACCTCAGTTTTTGAATGATTCATCTAGTTAACCCAGTGAAATTTGCATGTAGATATGCCCTTCTATGCAGTGGGAATGAAATGTCTTGTGAAAGGAATTTCTGAATGTTAGAGTGGAGTTTTGCAGAATTGCCCTAGCGCTGCAAGCGTGGAAGCAGCGGACGTGGCTGGAGGTCTGCTTAGCTCTGCTTGTGTTTCTGTGCCCCTCTTAAAATTAAATGAATTTGTATTCTGCTGAGAAACATGGGGGCAAAGGCAAGCATAGATCTTGCCATACTGCAAATTAAAAAAATTGGAATTCAGGTATATGTACAGATGTTGAATACCTACATACAAACCAAATGATCAAAGAAAAAAAGTAGCCTTTTAGAAAGACAAAGCATTTCAGTATAGTTAAACAAAGTACTCTGCATACAACTGAGTAAGACCTGTTAGGCTTTCCGAGTTATTTTTGTTTGGTCTTGTATTGAATATGTGCAGTCTATTGAATATTCCTTGACACATCACTCCGGAACCATGGTGGTGCACTTTATTCACAGAGATGTTTTACATTCTTCATTCATAATGGCTTTTTATCTTGTTTGTAATATGTTTCTATAGTTTCCTTTGAAGTACAAAGCAACTTTATATCAATATGGTAAGGACATTCCTGGGAAAGAAATCATGCTGTACTATTTATACTGTCTGAGCACAAAGCAATGATAAAGTGATAATATAGTGTACAAATAATTTGTAATATAATAAAATTTTGTATGGCTACAATTACAATATAGTTTTTCAATATTTATTTCAAAGAAAAAAGAATACACCTGCTTAAAGTTATGACCTCAGCACAATATATTTTTGCTATTTTTACTGACAATGACTTAGTTATAAAGGAGTTTCTAATGAATTCCTGTTTTCCTTGAAATGTTGTAAAATGTTAATGGGAAAATACTATTTTCTTTGTACAAAAAGTGATGATGTTCTGATCAATGCTTGTCTTCAGATCTGTAGATCATTTGTAGAAACATCTGCAAGTGAAGCTCACGTGGAATCACTTCTCAGTAAATGTGTAACGACCACTCTCTGTAGGTATGCTGTGGGCAATGCTATATTGACATTAGTGGAACGATAACTTGGTTAAAAGGGCACTCTCATTTTTCAGAAAAGCTTATTATCTTGGTATGTGAGAAGCACTAATGCTCAGTATAGAAGTATGAATAATATTTGTAGCTAATAATATGGATAGGGCCTGATAGAAGCACATGTAAATCCTGTGTAGAAGTGAAGAAATTCTCATGTAACGATCTTTTCTTTTTCAGACTAACTTGGAAAAGTTGAGACATGGAAGAAAATGTGAGATAAAAACAAAAAGTGCGTAGAAAAATTAGCACTGGATTCAATGGTAAAACTCAGATGAGGCCTCTGTCTTGTTTAAGGGAAGATACGTACAAAATTAACTTAATCTACAGCTTTACATTAGATTTTAAGATGTCTTAAGTATGAAGAATGAATTAATTTTAATGTGTGCTTTTTTTTARTTATTATTATTATTAAATGTGTAAGATCCAAATGCCTGCTTTAAATGTGTAAAGGAGCTTGGAAGGGGCAATAATATTTTGAGCTAGCACAAGAATTCATTTCACTTGAGTAACCTTGTACATCCTGGACACATTTGAGTAGTTCTGGGGACACTGCAAGTCAGCTGCAGTCTTGACCTTGCATTCCTYGTACTCAGCCAATTCTCAGCGGCTTCATATATCTCATTGACATGAAATTGCTTGGGCAGAGATCAAGCAAGGCATGAAGAATATTAACGGGTCAGGAGTGCTCTAACAGTCTGGAAGCCATAGATCTTTTGCTAGGTGGTAACTCGTACCTGCTAGGAAACTGCTRTGTGAAAGCAGATTGGCTTGGAAAGGTTGTTCTTGTCTTCTGGTTGTTGGTGACCACTGTGTGTGTAGAATAACAGTCAGTGCTGTCACGAGAGGTCTGTCACTTAATGCTTCCATTGGTTTTCCTGTGCCAAGCCTCATTTCTGTGGAGCTGTGCTGGAGAGAGCGGCATGGTGAAGCTGTTGCCAGAGAGTGCTTGGAAAGGGGTGCATGAGGACTGGTCCAAGAGAGAGAGAATCTCTTAACAGAACAACAGATTGTATAACATCTTATGTATACTTCAGGATACCAAAGGGAAAAAAAAAGGCATCCTGCAGATTTTCAAATTCCAAGACGGCTTCTAGGTTCTGCATTACCAGGCAGCTTATGTGTTAAAAACCAACTATTTTGTTGTGTAAAGCAGCAGAATCCAGCAGTCTATGCCAGAGATTGGCCAGGGTCTGAAAAGCCAAGTGACTGTTGTAGAAAACTAAGTGGCAAACCTTCTGTTYTAGCAATGAGTAGATACCAAGAAATCCTGGACTTAGGTCGGGCTAGGAGTTTGAAGTGAATTTCTTGGAATAAGTTAAAGGAATTTTGATTTTATTTGTTAAAACAGTATAAAAATAGTCGCATTAATGTCTTGTTCTCTTTCTGAGCTATCAGCATGGTAGATTTGAGTGTCTGTAAGCTTGAGGTTAATTTCTGGTCCCTGCCTTTATCTACACTCAACTCTGTGAGCAGGAAAGAAATTAAAATACTTGCCACAGAGTTGTTTTTCTATTGCCTTCTATGATAGGGAGCCTAGGAGGGTTTTCTTCCTATTGGTATAAGGGTCCTCCTTTAACTGTATTCAAGGTAAATTTAATAGAAATACTATGAAAAAAAAGAAAATAAAAAAGGAGAAATACATTAAATATTGATTTTAGGGTTTACGTAAAGAAAAGTACAGAAAATTTCATAGCCAAATGACAGCAGTCATTTTTATATTTAACAGGTTGTTTGCCAAAGTTGTGAATAGAAGCTAATTACTTTGTTCCCAACTTCATACAAATGTATAAATATTTCAAATTGAAAATAGAGAAATAGGGTGTTTTACTTCATGCAGTGACATWAAATATTTTTTTCTATGTGGATCTAAGCCATATCTGAGTGAATAATGGCTGATTACAGCTGTATGCAAAATGCAAGAGTTGATAAAAGTTAAAATAATTGGGATCAGTGATTATATGGAGTGAAAAATCTTCTGTCTTAGCTACAGTCACAGGAAATGACTGGTTTAGTGAAATTATTCTGGAGATCTCCGAAAATGAAGTTCCTATTTTCATTTTATGCCACCAGTMCTGCTTGCCCACACACTGTCTCCCTGTTCCCCAGCACAGGCTCCCAACACTGCTCAAAATGAGAGCCTGCATTTGATGCAGTCCCTGCGTACATAAAGGCCAGGCTGGTATTTATTGATTTGTTTTACTAAAAAGCATAATCATTAGCAGATTAAGATGTGAATTGTTGTTTTGGCAGCAACACCAGAATCACAACGGCAGTGGTAGATGGCAAGATGCGGCTTTAACATTTCCTTGCTGTTCTGATAAAAAGCAGTTATTACAGGTGGCAGTTGCAAAATGAGAGTTATGAAATGATTATTAGTATAAATCCTCTGTAGGACTGATTGAAATCTGGCTGGAAAGAATGATACATTAGGAGTGAATGCTGTAATAAACAGTGAGGAAATAAGATTTTGATATTGTATTGTGCTAAATTGCTTCACAGTTGAGCACCTTTAACGCAATATAAAACAGGTTAAATTACTACTCTTTTCGAACATGTGTTGGCAAAAGTGAGCTTCAGGGTTGCTCTATGCCACAATATCCTGCTGCCACCTACTGTTCTCTGTCTTTTCTACCCAAAATTTTACAGTAAGCACATGACCCTGATTACTTCTTCTCATTATATTCTGGATGCCATAAAAGATTTGGGGTTTTTTTGGTAGTAGATTTCTACAGCTGTTTAACCTGTTATTAACTGTGTCCTTTTTTTTATTTTTTTTTTTTTATTTTTTATTTTTTTAGTCAAAGGAGATTCCTTCCAAACATAGCTGATAGACACAGGACATAGATCTTGTGTCTCCAACAACTGCCACTCTGTTTTACAACTACTTTGTTACAGAGTAACTGTAATTTGGATTGGGTAGTTTGTAACATGTTTTGTGCTAAATGTGAAAGCAGTTTTAGTAGAAGTTATTTATATTCCTGAGGCACAGCAGTTTTATCAGCCCTGTTGGCTGCCCTCAGTCACAACTGCTGCCCCTGGAGCTGAAGGACGTGCAGAGCAGCGCGTGGCACTGGGGTGGCCAGGGTGTCCTGGGCACGGCCATCCCGAGGGATGCGGAGCCGCCAGGCGCTGCAGAAACGTGCGGATATGTGAAACCGCTGGTGCCGGAGAAAGAATACTCCAAAAGGCCAATGGGAAAAGATAATGTATTACACAACGGCACTAGTGGGCAGGAAAATACCATGGAAGATGCGTTAAAATACTCTGCAGGGCTACGCTGGCACCAGGGCCAGCCCGGCTGCTGCTCCTCACGCTGCTTGCTGCTTCCTTAGCCTCTGCCGCGTTCTGAGCTCCTCTATCTTTTCTTCTACGAGCGCCTTCAAGAGGTTATCTAAACGGGCGAAACACAGCGGTGGTTAATGSAGCCCTGAGGGCCAGGGCTCCGGGGGCAGAGCTGCTCCCCGTCAYCCCGCGCCGCGCGGGCGGGCGCCACGCACGCTGCTGCGGCCTGAAGCTGTTGCCGATGAGCGCCAGCAGCTCGAGCTCCTTGAGGCAGCTGTTGAGCTCGCAGATCTCCTCCTCGAGCTGCTCCTCGGCCGGCCGCGCCGCGCCGCCCTCCGGCCCCGGCGCCGCTGCG